CTCTAACACAAGGAATCCCAAGGTGAGAGTTACCAGAGGCTTGCAAAGTATTCATGGGGAAAGGAGTGGGGAGGATCAAGTATGCACATTCCTGCCAATTGTCTCTTGCTGCTGCTGGAAACTGATGCCGAGCTTGATAGCTGCTCGATAGCTGCTGCGTGATGTGAGGTATGTTATTTAGGCTCTGTTCCTCATTATGTCTGTTGTTTTTGAAGAGCATTGTGTTTTTTCTCCCCTCTTATACTAGCAGATTTGTCTTTTTTTCCTCAGATTATTCAAAAGTTCACCTAACACAGCTTTTGGAAAAAGCTGAAGTGATTGCAGGCCGTATGCTTAAATTGTCTGTTTTTTATCGGAATCAGCACAAAGAATACTTTGATTATACCAGGTAAGAAAGTAAACATATGCAAAATTGTTTGGCAAATTACGGTAGTAATGAAAATAAGTAAATGGAGGCAGCTGTGGTAAAGCTGGAGCAGAATGTCTGTGCACTATTGCCAGTTCAGAAGAAGGGAGAAATAAAAGGTAACTAATTTCTTCTGCCTTGTCTTGTTCAGCACTTTGATTAGGAAATAAAAGTTTGTGTTTTAGAGCAGGAATTTAAGTACTCACAGGGTCTCCAGCCTCATTAAAGTGCCTATGATATTATAAGTGTTTAGTAGTCAAATATTGCCATTGTATTAAGAAATTCATGGTGAGATGTCTAATAGTATGAATGCACAATTGTATCTATCAGTAAGTGTTTGCCTGTACATAAGAGTTCTATCTATCTCATGTATTTGCTCTCCACATACAATCACCCCAGTTGTGTGCCCAAATGCCATAACTTGGGCTCTGTAATGCAAACCTTAATTTACAGATCACGTTTGTGTGGGGAGGAGGGATGTTTAGACAATTTGAGAACACTGTGATTCAGTTGGAATGAATAAATGGGATAGCTGGAGGTAGGTTCCTTATTCCTGCATGGAGAGCCAGTGTGACCTTGCACACACAAGCAGAAGCACCATTGCAATAGAAAAGACGACATTTCAATGGGAGGAGTCAAAGCTCACGTACAAGAACAGCCACCATGCAGAGATAACCTTCTGCTGTTTGTTAGAAGAACGTGGATGAGAGGTAAGTGGTGTGACAACATCTGTTTCAGCACTGGTGCTGAGGCTGCTCCTTTGCTACATAATGCCAGTTTTAGGTGCGATTTGCATTAGTACCTGCATAGAACTATTTAAAAAAAAAAAAAACACTGGTGAAGAAACAAAATATTCTGTAGGTCCACCTTCAAAAAGCAGAGTCTACCACCCTTGGAAATGTTCCTCTTTGTAGTCATGAGTATATACAGGATTCTAGGATTGTCTTATGTATTGCAGAGCATGGGGTTTCCTCCTTTCTTTGTGCTTTGGGAGAATTACGTTGTTGCACATTGATAGAGCTGCATATTCAATGGAGGTAGCAAATTAATTGCATTTTAAGTTCTCTGAGGACCTAGTAAATCTACTGCCATCTTGGACTAGGACTAGATACCACAGAAGGGAAATTCCTGTGCTGTTTCTGATTCTCTTACAGCTTTGTTTTCAGTTGTGTAATCATAATGTGTCCGCTTTTGTGTTCACAGAGCTTTAAAAATTGCTACTGAGGGTACATTTGTAACTGTGGTTTTGGCCTTTTTCTGCCAAATGTGACTCTTTAATTGATTGCACTGTATCTTTTCCCTCCCTCTTCTTACGGTCTTTCTTGGGTTGATACAAATGAAGACTAAATTTGTTGTCTTTCTGTTAGTGAGTTAAAGAGCCAAAAGGATGAGTTTTGCCAGGTCACTGTAAAGCTAGGATACCTGTTAACTGTCTAACAGTGGTCTTTTCTGATAAAAAATGTACTAATGTGATTGCAAGGGTTAGTCCTGCAAGGCACGCTTCTGAATGGTGTATTAAAAACCCTAATCACAGGCTTCCTTTTAGGAAAAATTCCTTTGTTGTATCATTTCTTCCAGTGGCCTTTGTGGTGTCATAACTAGTAAACAAGTCTGAAAAAGCTTATGGGGTGGCTCTAGTAGTACCAATAGCCAATGAGCAACTACCCCTAAATGAAGGAATTTGAAATGTGAGTTTGAACGTGGCACACGTCACTGCTGCTTCCCTTGTCTGGAAGTGAAATAAATAGAGCAACTCAGCTCCCTGGGGAAGAGTGACCTATAATTAGCATAATTGGCCACTGGATGTCAGTATCTTGCCACAGAAATAAAGCTGCAAGCCTGTTTTCTCAGGTTGCAGAGAGAGTGGTTACTCAAGCTGATTTTTTTTCCTTAGCATTCACTTCAGTCATAATATACCAATTGTATCTCACTCTCCTCCTCCCCTCCCCTGAAAAGCCCAATGTTTTGTATAATGGGGCTTGAGACAATGACTATTTGAATAGCCAGAAAACCTCTGAACTTTAACTTAAGCATAAATAGAGATTTTCTTCTGAGAAGACTAGAAATAAGGGTGGAGGGAAGGGAATACCCAGAATTGGAGATGTTACTGTGTTGTTGATTAGAGCTTTCTTACCTTGTTAGTTGTACACTGAATGTGTTTGCTTTGACTGCTACCTCCAGTTTAACCAGGTAAAATCTTTTCTCAGACAGCACCATTTTTCCTGGAGCTGTCGCAAATTTAAAAGAGAGATTAAAAACTTGTTCTCACTTGCTTAGTAAAAGAGAGAAGGGAGATAGATGTAAGACTCTACAACCCCAATGCCTTCTTAATCTGTCAATGTGTATAAATGCAATCTTTAAGGGTAAAGGTCTTTAAAGGTAAGGTTGTTTTTTTTGTTTTTTTTTTTACAGGACTTAAAAGAGGGAATGTTTCAGTTTCTGGCATTAAATGGTTGCAGGTGCAGAGATAGCCAAAGCTGTTGCTACAGCACATACAAAGAAGCATGGGTCACAAGTTCTGGGGAATGTCTTTGCTGTACATAAAATCTCAGGTGCTACAGAGGACTAAGTGGGGCGTTTAAGATTGTCCTCATAAGTTTAGCAGCCTAATTCTGCTGAGTGCAATTTAGGATTTAGAGGTTTAAAAATTCACTTGTAACATTGAATGTTTCTTTTCAGTGTAACCAAATTGAGCTCAGCTTGCAAAAAATAAAAACAGTCATGTACATTGTTGTACCTTAGGACTAGTAACTGCAGGGGCTGGATACCAACCAAAGTGGAACCTAACCAAATTACCTAATTAATACTGTGCCCAGCTCTGCTTTGACTGAAGTCACCTGTAGAAAAATTAGTCCTGAAATTATCATTTTGGGGGAAAAAAAAAGTAAAATATAAATAAAATATATAAATATATATATAAATACAAGATATAAATATAAATACAAAATATACATGTAAAAGAATAAAAATGTATAAAACATAATATAAAAACAGAATAGCAGATATCAGACAGTATGTTCCTTCCTATAATGTCTCTGAGAAACATAATTCAGAAATAACTTTGGCACCTTTCCTACATGAACTACATACTGCCTATGCTAAAAATATGCATCAACTAACAATAGGTTCAGCATATTGAGATTCACTTGCAATTTTCAACATGTGATTAAATTAAAATATGTTTATTGTTAGAATTTTAGTGGAAAGCTGAACAGATCAGCTAATGGAGGCTATTGGTACTTTGGGGACTTTTTTGTTTGTGCTATTGTTTGCCTTCTTTCATAGAATACTGATGCAGCTCACAGCTGACAGAGAAGGTAGACTGGAAATGCATTTTTTTTCCCTTGAGCAGGAGTTACACTACCCCTTTCTGAGTCTAGCTTCACTTGAGTTTCTTGGTCTGAAAATCATGACACTTACCACAGGTCTCAGTTTAATGGTTTTCCTTTGTCTCTTCTGTACTGTTACTGAACAGCATGAAGTTCTAACTTACCACTCTCTTAATGTGTTACACAATAAACAATAGCAGTTATTCATTTGTAGAGAGCACCATGGGAATGCTCTGCAGCCTTCTGTTAAGGATAACAGTGGCAGCCATGGCTCTCCAATCAGCGGGAAGTTGGAAGGCATCTTCTTTAGCTGCAACACCGAGTTTAACACTGGGAAACCGCCACAGGATTCACCATATGGAAGATACAGGTTTGAGATTGCAGCTGAAAAACTCTTCAACCCAAATACTAACTTGTACTTTGGAGACTTCTACTGCATGTACACAGCCTACCACTATGTCATTCTCGTTATTGCCCCTGTTGGATCACCAGGAGATGAATTCTGTAAGCAGCGCCTTCCTCAACTAAATATAAAAGATAATAAATTTCTGACCTGTGATGAAGAAGATGGTGTAATGGTTTACCATCATGCCCAGGATGTTATTCTGGAAGTAATTTACACTGATCCTGTGGATCTCTCCCTCGGCACAGTTGCAGAAATTACTGGTCACCAACTAATGAGCTTGTCTACTGCAAATGCAAAGAAAGATCCCAGCTGCAAGACCTGCAATATCAGTGTTGGACGTTAAAAATCCCCTCGTTACTTAGGAGCCTTCAAACCTCTGTTGCCCATTTCCATAGTCAGACATTTTTGTCAGAAGCATGCACATGCCGCTGTCACCAAAAGCAAACATGGGTCTTCAAAATCTCCAATAGCGTTTTTAGTATTTCTTCTCTCCCTCCTTCCCTTCTGTTCACCCAATGCTTTAAATGATTAGAAGTCCTGGATTTTTTTTCCGGCAACCATTTATACCTAGATGCTGCAAAAAATGTTTTCTGTTTCTTGCCAAATGTAACAAAATCCTATATAAACTGCTTTAGCAAAACAAAAATAACGGCTTATAAATGGTGTTTAAATATGCATTCATTTTAACTACTGAACAAATACTGGGATAACTCCAAACAGCATGAAAGGTTGTAACTGCAGCATGATTTAAATTTCAAATCCTAGAAATGTCAGCACTTCCAACGTGTTGTTTGACAGTGTTATTTATGTTATTTATATTAGCTAACTGAAAGCAGAAACTGTGTCTTGACATAATAAATATAATAGAAAAATATTTTATTTGTACTGTTGTATAAAATATTATACAATCATATAGAATATATAGATCACATTTTAATATCAATTGTATACATGTCATGAAATCATTTTCCCTTATCAAAGATGTAGTTTGTAAACTTCAAATAGCTCTGTATCTGTTCCTGTTGCTCTAGATGACTTTAATTAAAACAGATTTACGAAGGAGACCATTCTGATTCATAAAAGTTACAAATTATTAAATCAGTACACTGAAACAACAAACCTCTAAGAAATAAAAAAAATAATTTTTAGTTGTCATACTTTTTCCTCCAAGCTACTTGAAGACAGGTACGTACATCTTCAAAATCATGCTGAGCCATTACATACAATAGAAGTACAAACGTGGTTGGTACATAATAGGCTTTATAAAATGAATTTTTTCTTACCAAGATAGATAGAAAACAGGTTGCTTATACTATGTGGTCAATACAAAATGACAGTTAAAGCAGAACACTAAACATGATTCAACTTACTGAAGTCCCTTTTTCTGTTTTCATTCTTCCTTCCTTTATGTCTGGGATAGGTATTTCCACAAATCCCTGGTTTTCATTTGCAGTACAAAAATGTTGATAAGCCTCCTGTTAACAGTTCACTTTTAACACAAATGGTTTATCACAAATAGTGAAAAAAAAATCCTTAATATTACAAAGTGTGGTACTCTGAAAGTTAAGAAAGATGCATAATTCCAATGGAAAAATATCTTTTTTATAATCTTATTTATAGTAAATGAGAAGTCTAGCGTTCCTCATCAGATAACTGTGACACTCACTTATATAACATGTACTTTAATCTATCCAAAATATCTTAGCATAATGCAATAATCTAGTCTTGTCTTTTATATATATATATATATATGGTAATTTATAACACAGGAAATACTTTGACATTTTTACAAAGTGCATGCTTCTAAACAAGCTTTGGTAATTAGAAAAGCAAATTAGCATCAGGCAAAATAAAGTGCAAAAGTTCAATACAGAAATGAAAATTAGCATGTAGTTGACCTATTTACTGAATTTTATGTACCACAAGCCAGGTCCTGTAAACCGTAGTGAAAAGGACAGCATCCAGTACCTTTGTTTTTATCTCTTCCCAGTAGACTACTTGTTTATTTTGCCAAATGCTTGCTCTTATTTCTAAAAAAAAAAAACCAAAAAAACCCACTATCTCCACTGTCTCCATTTGGCAGCCATAATTCCTTCTTTCTCTCTCTCTCGCTCTTTTTTTTTTTTTTTTTCTTTTTTGCATAGGCAGCATCACTTTGCTCTACTCTCAGAATTATAGACCAAATCCTGGCACTAGTTTTGTGTACGCACCTTTCTTTGAAGCTACTGGAACTGAATGGCAACTCTTATCTTGAGAACCAACAGCAATAGTTAATTACAGTGCATGTAAATCCTGCTAAGAAATGTGTGGTACATTACCAAATACTAAGATATACTAGAAACCTGGAGAGCATTTCTTCACACTTTTTAAACCTAAGAACAGGTCAAACTGAGTCTCAACCATGCTTCAATGTCCTTTTAATTTCTAACATTTTCACAGTGCACTTCAAGGCTTTTCAAAAGGAAAAAAAATATATACTATAGTTCACTCACCCACACTTAATATTCTCGTATATTGCTGTCCTCGCTCATCCCAGCTTGTATAATTGGTAAAGTGCATCAAAAAATCTCAGTGTGTCAAATAATTGTGCAGCAGACCAAGACCTGTAAGACAACTGCCTCTTTTTTTTTTTGTTCTGTTTCTTGTATGTTTTGCTAGAGAATAACACCACATCATTGCATTAATTTCAAATTGTTTTGGAAACATCATGCTTACTGATGAGAACCTCTAAAAGCCTGATTTTGGCTTTTGTGTGCTTGTATTCAGAGTATTCCTCTGCCATTGGTACACGATCTTCTTTTAGAGGACTCCTATTAAAAGCAAATAAAAGTACAATCACTTCTATGACTAAACAGAGAAACAGTCTTTAAAATGAATTCTGCAGCAACTAATGAGGTTTGGGTCATACATATATTTTTTTTTTCCTAGCAGTAGGTAAGTAAAGTTATTTTGACATGACCAAAAAAAAAAAACAAGAACAACCTCACATAGACAGAAATGAAATGGATTTTAAATATTAACTTTTCCTACATCAGGTGATTTTCTTTCTACTCAGCTATGCAAGTAAGCGTAACTGCTTCATTCTCAAATACACAGGGAAGTTATTAGGCATTGCTTTGAAAACTGTAACCAGAATACTACCTTCTCAGCAAAGGTTTGTTAAATAATGGAAGGAGGACAACCAAAAAGTGGAAAGTAATATTTATGGGTGAAAGAAACAGTAGTTACTTTTTTATATCCAGCCTTTTAGAGATAGCCAAACTTCCCAGTGAAGTCCCTAGAGATTGACATCTTCAGGAAGCCTGTTTAGCAGACTTTCTACACCTCAGGAAGATCCTGTGCTGACATGCCACACAGTTTATGTCTAGTACAGGCATATTCTGGGGAGCTCCCCAGAGCCAGAAGGCCATCAGGGATGCCCACATCCTCAACTTAACAGGGAGTTGGCCATCTCCACAGAGACCCATCACCTCCCAGTCCCAGACTGCTCTTTCTTTGGCTTGCGCACCTAAGAGTACCTGCTCTAGTAGAAACAAACATGTCTGCAGAGGTGCCCAGAGGGGAAAAGGAGAAGGAATTTGTCAAGTTGGTTGATTTACCTTCCTGTCTGCTTGTAGAATTGTTCTTCAAACTCTCTCAGAGCCTTGCGAAGCCTTTTTTTATCTGCTCTTGTTTCTCGGAGATGTTCAAGTAGAACAGGCCTGTAAAACAGAGGTAAGACTATGAAAACCCCATGCACCAGGAATCCCTGTAAAAGCCAGGGTTTTGGACAATAGTCAGGCTCCTGCTGTTGGCCATGGCAGGTGCTCATCTCAGTGCCCCCAAGCAATCTAACATATCCCTCCAAGTACAGCTATCACTACTTGTACAATCAATCACATGATTAAACAGTTGTTTTCCTTCCCGTTTACTACTGTTAGTATCACCCTTCTAGTAAAATGAAGGCAGAGCTCTGTGGACAACATGGCAAAAGCTTTTCAGGACTGAGGCTTGTTAGTGGGCTCAGTCTTACGTGGAGTTAAGGGACTCGACAGGGCTCAGTGGCTTACAGCAAACTCCTTACATTCTCTCTCTCAAAAAACAAAGTCAATAGCAAAGCCCAAATCTGAAAAGCAACTGTTACCAAATATTACTGTGATTCAGTAATACTTCTAGTGGTACCCAGAATATTTTTTTTTCTCTTTTAGGATATGTTTCAGCTGGTATTATTTGGAGAATAAGTTTGTGTTTTTTTCAAGCAGCGAAATAATTCTGTTTGTTTTGCTATATCCCCTACTATATCTTTTTACTAAGAACACAACACACAGAAATATCTTCACATGACTTGTGAGCACACTGCTGCATACACAGTTGTGTTACACAAGAAAAAAAAAAACTTTAATTTACTCTCATTTTTGGTAGAACCTAGTCAATCTATAATGTATGCATCCAAGTGATACCAACCAAAACCTGAGAAAAAGATAATAGCCCATATGTTATGAGAACATACCTGGTCATGGAAAGCATATTCAAAGCTTAGTAATAACAGCCCATGTGCATCTTGAGACGTGTTGCCTCATGCAACCTGGAATTTTTAAATACAAGTCTGGAGGAGGTTTTTGTTTTGTTTTTAATGGAGAGCAGGAGAGCGTTGTTAATTTTTCTGTGTATCCAGACACCAGTAAATACCCTCATTGCAAGGAATAAGATTTTACACACATAGAGTAGCCTCTCATGGACATATAATGTGTATTTCTCCTATCTAGCAAGTATAGATCATGCTTCATTTGCAAATTCTTTACAAAATATTTTAAAACATCCATGACAAAAAGACAGAACTCACATTGTTGCCTCATGTAAGTTGGACATAGACAGGGCTGTTTGTCTGAAAACTTTCTTTTCATCCAGTGGTGAAACATACGCAGGCTCGCTGTCCTCCTGAGAGTAACACAGATGCTCATTAACAGGAAGGCAAGATATCGGACCAGATGATAGCTCATGGCTGCTTTGAGAATGGTCTTCATCTGAGTCTTCTTCTTCCTGCTTGTAAAATATTATCAAATTAGTCATTTACATTACAATATAACAACTAATAGGATGACAACACAAATAATTAGATGTTAATTTCCTGGATGTATTCACTGAAAGATCACAGATATTGAAAGCTCTACCCAGTTCTACCTGAGAGTTCATGAGAACTCTCATGGGGCTTGCTGAGCTACTGGTTATTGTTCACTATGGCTAAACAGGACAGAAGCTGACCTTGTTTCCGAGTACCTCCAGCCATCGATTTTATTTTTACTCATGAGCCTTTACAAGTAGAAATGATTTAAAGAGCATTCTGTATTTATGCAAACACTGCAGTCTTGCTAGAACTTGTACTGCTCTTAAATACCATCTAACACTTTTATTAAGCCCAAAAATTATGTCTATAACATGCATTGGAGGTAGACATTCTACATTTGGTTTTATAGCTACAAATGTTAACTACTAAAATAGATTGATATTGCTGTCTTCCCCACCTTCCTTCAGCCTCGTAAGAAAATGTGGGTTTTTGAAATGAGGTTTTAAATGTGAAATTGTGGAGCAAAGCTCCTAAAAACTAAGTAACACCTTCAGTTACCTTCAGTTGAATTTTGAAATGAAGTGTGCACTTGTTTAAGGATTTAGACCAAGATTTTCAAAGCAATCTAAAGCTTCACTGACCTCTAACAGGACAATAGTTCATAATTTTTAAAATCAACCCAACCAAATTTGAAACTCCACCACCTCTACTCACAGTGAGACCATTACTGTTAAGTTACGTTTATATATTATTAATCAAAGTATTACAAGTTATGTTTATGTGCTACTTGTTAAATAAAAGATTAAAAAAAAAAAATAGCAGATAGTTACAGTGACAGTATAGTGCTTTATGGAAAATGATAGGTTTCATTTTATATTGCATACATCAGCTGTAGTAGAAAACTGACAGCCTTTGATCTCTTGCCCAGTGATTTGAAACAATTGCCTCCAGAACTGCTGCCTTATATTACAACCTCCGGTATGGTTGGAAGATGAATTTTACAGAGCATTTGATCTAGCTGAAATATAAACACTGTTTTAACTAATAAGCAGATTCTTTAAATAGCACTAGTTAATGTTGCTGCTAAATTGGCATACAGGTACAAATTAAACACTGCATTCAGCACACTGTCTTCACAATGGCTATGAATTCTTTCAAACTTACAATTGTTGTGATCAAAGATGGAGTTGCAAGGAGCTTCTTGATAATTCTATATCTGTCGTAAAGAGGCTTCATAAGACTCTTTTCTTGTTTAGTTACCTAAGGAGAAATCATAATAAAATATACTTCTCCAAAACAAAAAATAAATAAATACATTCCTCATTTGTTCCTGTAAATCTAAGAAAATAATTAGAAAGAAATACTGATGTGTATTTTGCTTCCACAGGTATTCCATGGGAACTGTAGTATACAGCACAAAAACGATTTTGAAAAAGAAACTTAGCTTAACCTACAACTCAGATTTAAGTTTCTGGTAGTTTTCTTGTAATCCCAGCCAAGCATATTCCACTCAATTTAGCCTTTTGATAATGACATGGAATGGTACTTGTTAAATGGCAAGGTATGTCATGGCCTGCTGGGTCAAACATTTCAAGTACTAAGTCTTGAGTATTCAGTAGTCAGTGTTCATGCATTGTGAAAAATCCTCTTTCTGCTTCCCTGGGACAACTCTCTGATAGCAGAGATGCACCTGTTCTGTTGGCTAACCTCACCAGAATGCCTCTGCCTGGACACACACTGTCTCTGTAAGCTGTCATCCCTGCATGTCTTAAAACCAAACATGAGCTTCCCAAGATGCTCTTTCCTGGGCCTTGCCGGCTCTGAACTGGGCACAGAGCCTGTGCTCGACACTGAGCCTGGACCTTGCTGGCCTCACTCTCCAGCTGTTCTTGGTGACCAGGATGCACACAGAATCTCCAACCCTTTCCCACAGGAAAATGCATTAATATCGATACGAATATTAAAATTTGCTCCTCTAAAATACATGATTATTTAAGTATGCAACTCTAAACGTTCAGTCTACGGATTGCTTATTTTGGGGAACAACAAAAGATGTAAAAATCTTTCCTAACTTCCATTTCCCTGCTTTATATTCTTGCCTGTCTCTGAGCTTTCTGTGACCTTAAGTCAGAGCTGTTTGGCAGATCCAAGATCGCTGCATGGCTGTTTAGCATCACTGATCATCTCTTCCCTTACGCAATTAGCATCTTCTTTCTCAGATGGTTAGAGCTGCCTCTACCTTGGGAAGAAAAACCCTCTCTGTACTCCATGCTACAGAGCATGCCCTATTATTTTCTTCTCTATCTTTGGATTTTCAAGTCTCAGTCGTTTTTATATAGCACTAATAACTCATTTCTTTCTTGTTCTCCTTAGGAAAAGTCATCTCTTCAGACCCTTCCTACATATTCTCTCCATCCCTCAGCTCTCATTCAAAGCCTAAAGAGGCTTATTAATTATTAAAAATTATTTTATCCAAGATAAAATAATTTTGTTCTAATTACAGAGATCAGATTCAGATCACAGTAATTTTGAGAGCTGGCATATTTTTGGACACTTGCTGGTGCCACTCCACATTTCCTCTACCATAACAATTACAAGGCAGAAACAGACATAAGAATACAGACATTCCTACGCATCAAATAGGAATTCCAGGAATTTGCATAGACACATTTTCAAATCATTATCTCACCGATGTTGGAAATTATTTGTTTTGTACCTACATTCAGCATTGAAAACCCTTTAATACAGAGTTCTTGAAATGATTTAATTAATATTTTTAAGTGCTGCTGTGAAAAAAAGTAAAACAGATGACAGGCTATTTATTTATTTTTTTAATCTCTGATGTTGCCCTGCAAACCTTTCTCAGCTGCTAAATATTCTAATCTTTTGTATGCTGTAGCACAGCTGCAGTGTGTATGAGCCAAGTCTGATGTGGATATATAATTCTCCATTTTTATTGTCAAAATCTGCAACTTCTAGTCATGAGGAGAGATGCAGGACCACTCGTAACTTGCCTTTCTATTTTTTATTTTTAATATAAACCAAATTCATAAAGCAGTAATTTATATCTGAAAATCAGTTTGAAATAACTAATATTATGTTAATCATGGAAAAATAATCTAAATATATTTAATACATGAGTCCAAAAATACTTGGTAGTGAAATTAAGTAAGTTTTAATTTACCTATCTTTCCATGGTATACTTACAGGCTGTCCATGAATACTCTCAAAATATAGTAGGCATTTCTGAAGGCTGATTTTTTCCAAAGCCATTTGCTTTTTTGTCATATCCTATTTAAAAAAGTTATGTATGAAATTATGAGTCAGGACTTCATGACAAGGGTACAGGTAGGTATTTGCTCAATAACCTGTGTTCCCCAAATAAACATTAACACTGAATTCTGTTTCTGTCCACCCTCAGATCAACAGGGACTTGACACTGACTTGGTAAGAACAGAGCCCAAATTTACATGGCTGACGTTTTAAATGGATTGCGAATACATGTTACCCACTCAAGGCCTAATACAGAGCTGAAGAAATCTATAGAGATACATCTAACAAATAGAGTAGTTTTTAGGTTAGGCGTTCACCTGTGAGAAATATACTGTTTACTTTGTCTCACCAAAGTGGAGTCTTTGTGGCCAGAACTTGTACTCTTTCTCCTGTAGAAAGATGCAAAAATGAAAATGTACTGGAAGGTTGGAATCTTCCTGCTAACTGTCATTCTATGGTGATCTAATAGTTTATTTCCTTGATTTTTTTTTTTTTTTTTCAAAATGACTATTCTATAAAAGCAGTTAAACAAACTTAAAATTAGGAAATGATACTAGGCTAATGAAAAAACATTGCATCCTTATCTGGAGAACTTCAAAGGGTATAAACTATGGTCTTATTCAATAAGGCAATGATCTTCATGAGTTGCTGGACCAGAGCCTGTATCTGAATATATATATATATATATATATGTATATATATGTATATATATATACATATAAATATATATATATAATATTAATATATAGTTAATATATAATATTAATGTATAATAATATATAATAATAAATATATATTTTATATAATAATAATAATAATATATATTATAATAATATAATATGCATATATATATATATATATGGGAATACTGGTTGACAGAAAGTCTAAAAAAGCAGAGTTTTTTACTTGACTATCAGAACCAAATTGAATGTATATGGGGTGTATTTTGTGGGTTGGGTTTTGGAAAGCGGGGCTCACAAAAAAGACTGCAGCATGTGAGTGGAATGGACTGACACTGAGGACCCATGGATATCAGTACTTCAGTACTTTCCTAGAACTTTTTCTGATGCTTAAGTTATGTTTATAAATGATTGTAGTAAATGAAAAATTAAAGTACTTCTTTTCTAGGGAGAAAGCTGTTAACAAGAACAGTGTGTTACTTGCTTCTCCTTGCAAGATCAGTTTGTAAATCATACAATTCTCTATTATATATTAAGTATGATTTAGTTGCAACAAATTAGAACAAAATCATTCTAGACACAATACTTTAAAACTTGCAAAAATGCAAAGAAGACATTGCTCAACTTTTTAATTATTCATTGAGGAGAAGTAGATTTGCCTTGGCTGGTAAGGGATGAAGAACAGAAGTTTCAGCTACGCAAACACAACACATTTACTGAGTGGAATGATAGATTCACAACAAAATCTTTAAGTAACCAAACATTGTGATACCATGGTTAAAACCCTCCAAAGCTGAACATACTAGAAAAAGGTGCCATCTTTAAAATGAAAGGGAACAATAGCTCGATCAGCCAGCAGGAAATTCATCTGGATAACATGCATCTGTAGAACTGCTATAGAGAAGCTGCAGAAAGTGCAGCACTGTACCAACACTGGGAGCAGCTCTGGGCTTCATCCCCAGTCTCACAAGTTTTGCTCTCTTGGACTGAATGCCTAACAACTACCGATCCCACAAGTATGGGATTCCTTCTAAAGTAAAGAATCACAAGTGATGCAGTTTATTTTTGTTCAAAATCACAATATAAAGCACTGGTAGCAGAAAAAGGAATGATGTTTTTTTGGCAATGTGATTTATTAGTGGTGGTGATACAGTAATATAGGTGTCTGGTGCAAAGAACACAATATTTAGCTGCTATTTCTCTTCTTCTCTCAGTTTCCTCCTCCTCCCAAGAAAATCTGTTCCTGACTGGTGCACATTTGCACCTGGGTTGAAACAGCAAGGAGCATATGAAGCTGATGTAATTTTCATAGAATCACAGAATATCCTGAGTTAGAAGGGAACCAGAAGGACCATCAAGTCCAACTCCTGCCTCCACACAGGACCACCCAAACCCTATGTCTGACAGCATTGTCCAAACGCTTCTTGAACTCTGGCAGGCTCGGTGCCATGATCACTGCCCCAGGGAGCCTGTTCCAGTGCCTGACCACCCTCTCAGTGGAAAACCTTTACCTGATACAGGGCCCTAAAATGGAGCCCTGTAGAACCGCACTAGTGACTGCCACCAGCCTGATGTAACCCCATTTACTGGAACCCTTAGAGCCCCTACAGTCTGTGCCAGATCACAACAGATCTCTCTACAAGTTAGGGCCAAGTGCTCAAAGGTTTGGAGCAGAGCTCATCCACCACAGTGAAGTAATGAGCAGAAGAAAGGAGTGGGGGCACAAGGATACCTTTCTGCAGGAAGTCAATGACTAGGTTTTATTTATTGACAAACTGGAGAAGTATTTATAATCATTAGCCTCTTCTTTCCAAATATATATGAAACCCTGAAGAAGCAATGCTTTTCAAATACCAGAGAGCCTTGCAATTCATCTCATCAGGAACATGACCTTTTCTGTTTGTTGCCTGAACGCAAAAACAGTGCAGAACCTCTAATCACATTTGTTCTTAAAGATCTGCATGAGTGACTCACTCCAAAATTATCTGCCATTCACATTAAGGGAAGAGCTGCTAACTAGAATTTAGGAGTATTATAAAACTGCTACCTATTTTATTTATTGCTAGTTCTGCAATTAATACAAGATTAATTCTTTTAAAAACTGTTAAGCCTGAAGCAGCTGAATGCTTAGGAGGAAACAGAGACTGATCATTAAAATTGATTTTACACATGAGAAACAATCTCAAGAGTGTTTAGCATTTGGGCTTATTTCATTAGATCATTTCATTAGCAATCTCAAGACAAGTTTTTATTCAGCTAGGCTTGAACAAAATCAGAGATGGCAACTGGAATCACAAACTCCAGAATTGTCTGGAACATCTTAGGACTGTAGGCTGTACACAGCAACATGAAATTCAATGCTAATTTAAACAAAACCTGCTTTATAGCCCATGAAAATATTAACTGAAATGGGTCTATAATGAGAGGACAGATACATAAATGTAAACAATCTAAGAAAATATATAAATAAACCACCAGCTCCCATAGACATACCAGGAGCTAGTGATAGTACAAGTCATTGCCCCTTTCTGGGTTACAGAATCGTTCACAGTTCAATCTCTATTTTCCCTAAGTCTTCTAATTGAATAACTTTACTCGGGCTTTTGGGGAAGGAGAGTGTAGGGGATGTTTTGTTCTGAGAACCACATTCTGCTATTTCATATTCAAATTTTGTGATTGGTCATTTTTAGACATACTGGATCATTCGGGATCTTATATCCCTTCTGTGTGTCCCACCTTCCTCACATTTTTGACTTTTGTTTTTGGTTTTTGTTAGGATGACTGTTGAATATCTGATGAATAAAATGTCCCTCAAAGTGATTTCACATCTTTGGCCTAAAAATGAAAATTCTGTGATCTATGAATCCCATTGTCAATTCCAGTCAGTGAAATATTTACCAAGCCCAGTTTCACAAGTCGCATTAAATTATACTCTGCATCTTTCTTAAAGACACACTATCCCATTTCTATTTTAGCAGGGCCTTAGACGCTTTCCATAGTAGAACTTCAGGGGAGATCTACGCACTCTTGTATAGAAACACTATAATTGCCCCACATTACTAAATCTTGAAAATAAAAACAACCCTTCCCCCCCAAAGGAAAAAAAAAGCTAAAAAGCTACTATTTAGATTGCTATTAATCCAGTTCACATTCTGGTATAGGATCTAAAATTATATAAAAAATAAAATGTTTCACATAAAGATTATCTACAGTAACAGCACAGCTGCATGCAGCTTAAATGAAGCCTTTGATCTTTTCTGTAACCAGCTGACATCCTTGATTCATTTTGCATCACCACTGCTGTGAAGCTCTTTCTCCCCCCAAAGTCCCAGATCACTCATAAATAAAAATCAATCACATTAATGTGAAACATAAGGACCTACTGAAATACATTATCTTGAAATAAATCAATTCAACTTAATATTACTCCTTTTCAAGACTCTGTTCCATAGTGATTCTATATAACTATTATCAAACACCTTTACTATCAAATGGATAATTTTTTCTACACAAATTTGCTCTACAGGAATGCTGGAAGAAAATAAAATGTGCAAATGAACCTTAAAAAAAAAATGAAAATATTAATTATTGCAAAAAATTCATGTACATTACAAAATTCTTTGTGAGAAACTTTGAAGACAGCACTGCCATTGCACTGTATTAGGATGTTCTCAATTGGAAAATAAAGAGAAGTCCAGTTAATCAATGACTGAGTGGGACTAAGACCCACAGCCAACTTACTCTCTTCCTTGTAAAAGAGGTTTTCTAGAAAGTATTTCCTCATTGACATCTGTTTTGGAGTCATCCATAGAACAAAATTTTTAACAACTAAAAATATTTTCATTGAGTCTGTACTGTTGGAGCTCTAGAACTATATACAGAATTGCATGTTGTCTTTTGTTTTCTTACAACACTTTTTCCATTACAGGTTTTCAAAAAATGCAGTTTATAAAAAGAAAGAATTAAAAAGTCTGTCATGTATGCAGAACTCAACATTTCAGTTACAGAGCATGGCATAGTTTTGCAAGGTTCTAATTTTTAATACAGTAACTGGGTGTTAAGAACCAAGAATAAAATCAAAACAAAATAAATTTAAAATTAGCTCTGCTGTGTACCTTCCGCTATTGAAATTGAACCAAAATCATTTCTTAGTGTTAGAATGTTCCAACATAGTTAGGCATTTTGTTCTTCTTCACTCCTCTTCATCTCTCTCAACCCCTCCCCCCTTTTTCTTTCAGCAGCCACAGTCTAGATGTTACTGTCAATGTTTGGATTTCAAGAACCTTTGGGAACAGAATTTGTTGTCATGCTTAGATATACAGCACTAGGCATAGCAACATCATTTGTTGATAAAAAATAGTAAAACTAAACTAAACTAAACTAAACTACTCTTAATTAAAAATATGTATTGCAGAACAACAGATTTACACAGATCCTAAAATGCCCCAGTAGTATGGAGGTACAACAGAATTTTAAACTAGGTACTAGTTTGAAAAAAAAGTAAATAGATGCCCAGCACGTCTCATGGAATATGAAATTGTCTCTTAAACTCAGGAGAACAATTAAGAATGTGGAAGAGCAGGGGCAATATCAACACAAGTGAAGTACCAGATCAGAAGGGCAGAGCAGCCTGTATGGTTGTGTTATCCATGCGATCTTAATGCTATTGACTGCACAGACAGTTCAGCTTTTCTCAGGTACAAGGGGACCTTGTTCCTAATTCCTCTGCTTCAGAAATATTTGGAAGAGATCCACCAAACAGACCTGCTGGTTTATTTGTCTACTATGGAGGCACCTTTGGGTCCCATGTAGAAACCAAAGCTGAAGCCACCCTGCCTGCCATTAGAAGATGCTTGGGAGCATTTGAACCCTTAGGTGCATTTGAATCCCGCAATGGAAGACTGAGAAAAATGCACTTTTTTATACAAGCAGGAACTAACTGTTTCAGCCTATATATGGCAACCAGAAAAAAGCCTCCCAGTCTGTCCATAATGAGTCCTCTAGGTGTCCATGGGCAATCAGGAATAAGAACAAAGTTGTACTTGAGCCAACGAGCAGTCTGATTTGGGTTTGAATGCAACTTCTAAAACTAGTTTACTGGAGAAGTCTTGGTCCCCTATTCCTGCTAAGGCTCCTCAGGAGAAATAGCACAGAGCTATTCTTTTAAAAGCAAAGTTACTGCCTCAGGCAAGCCTTGGGGGAACACAGAGTTGACACTTCAGGAACATTTTTAGACACGCAGTGTCCATGGACTCAAAACAGGATCACATTTGCAGTCACCATCTTTGATGCATCAGAAAACGAACCTCACATGCCTAAAACCTCAACTACGCAGGTTACTACAACATGTGGCAAATGGTTCTTTACCTGCATTTCTGTGTAAAAAGTGCTTAGCACTATTCAAAAAAACCTTCTGCAACTGATTTTCTGTTCAACGCTTCACAGAAAAATCACTTCAGAAAACTGTACTAAAACTCCCATCTCATTAGAGAGAAAATGCACTGCAGTGACAGAGGGCACAGGATGCACACCCACCAGGATACACATTTTGAAAATGCTTGCTCAAATGCTCTTAAAGCCACTTCCCAGTTCCCATTCCCTTTTCAAATCCTTTGCCATTTTCAGCCCTCATCAGAGAGCCTGACATGTTCCCACTTGGAAGGCAGAAACCCATATCCATCAAGATAAATTATTGCCCGTAACTTCCTGCTTCGGGAGATCCTCTGCAGGAGAAGCAGGAGCAGCAGCTGCTGTGCCTCAATACATTACCAGTATTGATTCAACAGAGAGGGGAATAACTTTTCAAATGCTTTTTCCCGTAACAGTGAGAATTTGCTAGCTAGCAGCAGGTATCTCCATTTCCCATGAGTAACACAGCCGTTATCTTAGGCTGTAAGCAACACAGTCATGTTGTCATACAGTAGGCTAATACAGCTACACAGCAGCTAGTATCTGCTTCAGATGATAAAGCTATGAAAGAAAGAGTCAGATTTGCTAAATACCTTAATAGTCTCTGGAATGTTGAAGTGTTGTCTTTTCTCCTTTAGTCGTCTCAGTACACCATCCATGGTTTCTTCTACTGATGGAGCTGGTTCCATGCTTGTGGCCTCCCGTGTCCCAGTCTCCTTAGAGGTCCCAGTACTTTCACAATGATCATTTCTTTGGGGTGCTCTGGAGGTACGGTTTTGTTCTTCTGACATTCGGAGTTTCAGCTCTGAAAGGCAAATTATTTGGCAAGTAAATAGGTGAGAAATATTTGCAAAGAAGTTTCCCATAACACCATAAGAAAAAAGCATCCCAACTTTTTGCATATAATTATTACACCACAGCTGTGTAGGAAAGTAATTCTGCTTTGCTTCAGCATGGAACACCTTTTATCTGGTTAAAGCAAAATCCAGTGAAGGATGAGATGTATCTAGGTCAATGACACCTAAGAAAGCACATAGTTGCCTCTCCAAACCCATCCTTGATATAAAAGGTGTAAATTACCATGAAGGAGGACTGAAAAGGCACTGGGTTAATGAGTGCAGTCAGGGTAGGAGTCAGCACAGAATTTTGGTTGGAATAAGGATAGGAAAAAGACTCAAAAGGACAGAGCTTCAAAGTAATTATAGAAGGCTTGTTTTCTTCAGGGGGTAAGGATGTGGAAGCAGAGATATCTCACTCCCCCAAGTAGCTCCCATAAAAGCAGGCTTTCTTCCTAGCTCATACCTGGCTGCTGCAGGACCTTGGACAAGGCAGAAAATTGCTCACCCCACACCTGTTAAATTTACTGAAATCTATGCAGTAATGTTTTTGTTTGTTTGTTTGAGCCGTGACAGTCTAAGGACACAGGCCAAGCTTGCAGGGAAAAGTATTAATTTTTATTAAACTCAAAGAGGTAGGAAGAATGGATGAGCCTTACGGTCTTGAGAAAAGACTTATGAGAACATGAGTGGTTTTCCATTTCAATTGTACCTGTCTCGTGGATGTTACAGATCTGCTTCACTTAAAATCAGTGTCATTATTCAAGATAATACAATCAAGGGTGTTCACAGGATGGCTGAGTCAGAGAGAGAACTTTCAGAAAGTAAAATATGCTGTTTGGCCACATCCTCTCATTTGCCCTTCCTGAATTTATAACACAAGGTTCAAGAAAAAAAAATATCTTATGACTATGCAGCCTTAGGAGAACTTCCCAGCAGAAATTAACTAAAAGATTAGTTTTTAATTATTTATTAACCAAAACAACAACGTCTACATCTACATTCTCAACTATCTCCAAAACACATATGAAACATAATACTAGGATTTAATTAGTAGTGAGAATTCATTTATAATGGAAAAACAAACAAACATAGATAATTTATAAATAGCCTTTAAAAAAAAAAATCAATCAATCCTGGCTATATTTTCTCTGAGGGCAACATATTACATTCCCAAAGACATTAATGGAGCTGTGTGCAGACAGTCAAGGGCAAAATTTGACCCCCAAGACCAAATCAAATAGCAGAGGAAGATCTGTTTTTATGATCAAATAAATAAAAGCTTTAGAGCTATGTAACCTCAGTTCTAAAGAAACTTTTTGCTCCTCCTGTACAAGGAATCATTCGCCTCTGTCATTCAGTATTTTACATTAATTTTACTGACCTTGCAACAGCATACACAGAAAATATTCTCAATAACATTGCCTTTTACATGAATGTTGACATTTATGAGGGACAGATGACGTCTTTTCCCCCTTCCCCTTTTTACCCTTGTTATGAGGATTGACTGACCTAATGTTAACCCCTGCCACCGGGAATCATGTCATACCTTTGTTGTTATTAAGAGACTTATTATCATGCACTAGTGAAAAATAAGCCGAGCATTAAGAATAGAAAACTAACTTTAAAACATTCCAGGTGCATTCATGCTGCTTCCAAATGCTTCAGCAAGAAAGTGAAATGAGATGCTATTATGTACCTTTGAGCTGCTTGCGACCTTTGGCCAAATCATTCATCCATTTTAGAACTTCAGGATTTGAAGTTTTGTCACCATGTGAAGGCTGAATGTAACATAAAAAGGAAGAAAAAAAGGGAACTAAGGATTACACAATCAGAAAAAAACCAGGCACAAACACATTAAACCTATCCACATACTCTGCTAAAATATCCATAGTCCCAGCTCCACCATATCATAGTGCTGCATAGACTGTTTGGCTTGGTCATGGCATGAGTTTATCATGGCTTATCTCTCCTCATTGTGGCACAGCACTACAAGGGTCTGAGTATTTTGGCTCTGATTCTAAAAAAAAAACATTGACTAATTGGATAAGTAGCCTCAGTGACTTCAAAAGGACTGGTCGAATACCTAATGCTGGTCAGGTTCCTAGGTGATGTGCAGGATGTTAACTGAAACACCTTGCAGGGATAAGCCTAAACTGCTTTACAACTGGGATTCTTTTGGGAAACAACACTTTAAACATTTCAACTGAACTGCTTAACTAATTAAGTGGAAAACAAACAAACAAAAAATAAACATGCAACAGAGTGATTTCAAAAGCAAACAACAATAAAAGGTTTGTATATCATTTTTTTCTTTGCATTTAGAATGCTTCCAGATTAAAATCAATTTACACTGCAATTTCAAAACTCAGATATTTTAAAGAGCAAAGAAATTTTGCAAAATAAAGCCTCTGAAATAACTTTTTTCACATTGTGATGACTATTTAAATGTGAAATTTTACTCCTAGGAGTATATGATGACCACAGGGCAGTACAATTCACAGATGTATGTTTAGGTTTGAAGGCATTAATGAGATCACAAGGTAATAATACAATTTGCTCCATTTTCACTTTAACATGGTTATAACATATCACAAATTTTCCTGTTTCGTACTGTACACATCTTAGCGTTGTGGATATTTTATATGTTTATACGACACAATTCACATTACACAGAACTAGCCTGATGATGACCAATGATCTTCAATACACTGCATAGAGCCTCAAACATCTCCCGTCAGTAACACCCCACAATTCCTATTTCTCTTATTTCTTACATCAACTTCTATTGGACATTACACTTTAGAGGTTTACAGGAATCTGCCTGAAAGAAGGAATCTGCATGGCAGAACAAAATTTTCCAAGCAAATAACTTCATCCACAAAGTAAACAAATAGCTTTTCATCTTTTGAACCGTTTTGGTTTACAAGTCTATCAGCTATGTTTAACTGATTTGCACTTCTCACACAGCTAGAAGATGCATATTTTCTAACAAAGATAATCCACAGGAAATGCAAATTAGTCTATGCACTACTGAATATACTGAAAGATGATGAAATACATTCCCTCATTAATTATTTTCCAATTTCATAATTTGTTTTGCATAATTTTAAATACACTGGGATTCCTGCCTGCCTTTTGCATTATTTCCCTTTATCTTTTCAATGATTATCTTACCAGGTATTTTTTTTCTTGCTCAAACTTTTCTTCATACTTTCTGATTTTTCTCTTCAGACTCTGAAGATGCTTGGTAAGTTGTGCTATTGTTTGTGGTTCTTTGCACTCTTCACAGTTACATCTAGAAGAACTTCTTGGTCTGAGAAAGCCGAACACATAGCAGCTTGATAAAAGAACTGGCTAAAACGGACTGTGCCTTTTTTCAGGCATACTTAACACTTTCTTAGCACTTTGGAATTTGCAGGTAGATTCTTTCACAGGTTTAGTTTTATGAAGTCAGCATAAAATAATTGCTTTTGTTTGAGGTTACCCCTAGGATATAGTAATAGGTTTACTATAGTTCTTTCTCTCTTAATTAATTGTGGGATTTTTGAATATTTTTCAAGTTTAATTTAGTAGGTCACAAACTGATCCAGTATTTCCATTTAACAGCAGCATCTTACTTCACAAATCTTTCAAGGACAATAAGATGATTTGTAGAAGTAAACCCAGGGAGTTTATTACTGGGAATAAGCATTTTGAAAGCAATTTAGTTTCTGATTTTTTTACAATCACAAGTCAATAGATTTGATTATTATTTATACACAGTTGACTGAGTAATGTACATAAGCTTTTATGAAAGTGTGGTTCCTGACTGAAACTCACACCCTGGTTTCTCACTTGTACTGTTCATATATTCATGACTTCCCTCATACCTAGTGAATGACACAAGCTATAGTTTTATTATAGATGAATTTTTTATTATTTAGTACCTTGATAATTCCCTCTACCTTAAGTTCATTTATGAAACTACTAAATAACCTTTAAAACTGTCATTGCTAACTTTAATTAACAAAGACTTCAAACAATGCTGTACTGTGTTATTACTGAAAATGCTAGATCCCATTTCCAGTATTGCAAATTAACCATGTTGAAATACACTATAATATGAAAGTTTCTTATTTATGACATAGAAGTAACTGAGAAACTTGAAGAGACAGAGATCACGCATTGTACAAAAATTACTTAAAATATGTAAGAATTAAAATATATTTTCTTACGTCATGAAAGGTTGAGCACTTGGTGGAGAAGGGGCAGACTCTGTGTCTAGATTAAATCTCTGGCTTTGGCTAAAGATAGAGCAGCGTGGTGACAAAAGAGGATTGTCTCCATCAGTAATGTGATACAGGAGTCGACTGGTCCCTAGGGAGTGATGTTCTTGTGGGCTGCTGTCCATGTCATTCTGCCAGTCTCTCTGGGCTGGTAAAGGCTCTAGAAAACAAACAAACAAACAAAAACATAAAACAATATGGATGGAAGGTCATTCACAAGATATTTAGCTACTCGGATAAATACAAATCTATACATACAGAAATATTAAAAGACTAAGTAGTCAAAGTAAACATAGCAAATAGTTGAACAAAGTACCACATGCAGGTTGAACATAGTACTGAGGATTAGAAAATAGAAAGGACAGTTACTAATTTGACATACAGTATCTTTAAATTCCAGAAGAGAAGGTAGGTAGGTGTGTTTGTAAACTATGGATTATAATATAAAGATGAAGAGTTTCCCAGAAAAAAAAGCATTAATTAAAATTTTATAAATCTCTTTACTTTTGAAAGCCACATTCCTGAAGCCAGAAGATAAATATACAAAACGAGCTTAATTTTGTAATTTAGCATTTTGTCCCTTGATCAAGTGAAAACCAGAACAGAAATACAGTAGTTCCTGCTAAGAATCTCTAGTGTTGCTTGCGGTATCCTGGAGAATTTCATTAAGTTTTGTCAATAACATATATATGGGTCTGAAGAACACTGGATATGAAACAGTAATAACAAAAAATAACATTCACAGTAGTTATTCAAGATAACGTACAGTGACTGCTACTTGGAGGAGTCACGCTAACAATACTATGTTAATATTTTCTTTGACTATAAATGGAAACCTCACCTCAGGTGTTCAAAAGGTAAGATTTTTTTTATAGAAATGGTCAAGCTAGACATCAAAAGAATTTATTCTGGTCTGAAAGTAGGAACTGGTGAACCTTATCACACTGATTCTACTCATGGCTAACAAGGAAACTGATGGGCACATTACAGAGCCTACCTCCATGGAATACCAAGTGTTCATCTTCCCTTGACTGTTCCTGGGTATACTAATAGGGAGGACCACTGAATTTTCTTCCTCACCCCTCAGTGGGTAAAATGGGTGACGATAATCTAACCTAGTTGATATTTTCTCTATTAGGTAATTCTGCTTGAAAACAGATTATACTTCTATGGAGAAACTCCGTATTCTCATAAAAAGCTCTCCCCGTGAGACCAAAAAGTATATGTTAAAGCAAAGAAAGTGCTCCTTCTCGGATTCCTCTACGTCAGTTTCCATAGTACAAAGCATTTTACTTCAGCTACATTTTTTTCCTTTAAAACCATATATACATACAGTCTTTGAATTCATATAAATTATTTTATATTTCTAGGCAGCATGCATGCTATTTCTAGTCAGTATTATGTTTGCAATATAGCATGCACTTTAATACATCTCACAGAGTCATTTTATTAAATAAAGGTTTAAAAGTACACAGAAAAACAACTCTATGTGGATTTACTCCCAGAAGAGCAGGCAGGTCTAAAAAAGTTCTTTCATCTTCCAGTGCTTTGCATTTTCAACTTTTTGCATAAGACAAGACAATCCCATAGTGAGCAGGTATTTTCTTTAAGATTTTAATCGATTGTTTTTAATATATCTTTTCTGACATCTGCCCAATAGACTCTAAAGTTGTAAGTCCTTATTGCTGCACTGGACACTGGGGACAAACTGGCTCTAAATGGCACCCTTCATAGAAACCAACTATTGATTTCAAAAATAATAGTTAGAATGGCCTAAAATATTATTTTATCAGGCAGTATCCAACCATTTTTGCTTTGCCGACAACAGAAGTCCAACTGTATCTTGTATAATCACAGTTTAGTTTAAGTCATGCAAAAGTTATGTGTGACTTTTGTACCTCTGAGTTAATTTACTTTAACAGCACCATTGATTATAATTATTTTAAGCATTTTCACAATAAGACTATGCAGCTGATTATTAATTCTAACCTAGCATCTTTCCTCTAGGTACTTCCTGCCCTGTAGGTCAAATTCACCTCTCCAAGATATGAGAGCAACTCCCAAGAGTTCTAAACAGAGTATGAGATTCAAGTCCTTCCCAAGATAGATCCAGAAAGACATCTGGGAGAAGGCAAGGATACAATATTGTACCAGTCAAAGGAAGTTATTTACACAGACAGCATACAGTGATAAAGACTAGAATAAAAGCTGTTCTGCAAACAAAAGTGTTGCTTTCTGGCAATTAATCTTTCCCTACTCTTTAAGACTAAAAAAAAACACATTTATTCTTATATTTTTACTTCTGAAAAATAATATTGTCAATGAGAAGGAACAGGCTTTTTTATTTACTTCACCATCTTCAAACTTCCATAAACATATAATCACTGTGAAGTATGTTGACTAAGAATAGTTTCACTATTTATTTCTTATGCTCTCTTAATAAAATGAAGACACTATTTTATAGTCATATTAAGTAGCAGTCTCCATATTGTGAAAGGAAAATGATGTTAAAAAAATCAGCCAGTCTGTATATGATAGGGGCAGGAGAAAATTTTCCAGCATTTGAACTCTGGTTTACAGTGGACTGAGAAATTCTCCTTTTTCAGGAGGCAGTCTGTATTACTGATAAACCATACAGTCACAGACATCTGCCCCTTCGCACGTTTACAACCAGGCCATTTTAGTAGGCCAAACCCAGTCTCAGAAATTACAAAACAGGACACCCTCAAAACTAAACACTTCTGCAAGGTAAATGCAAAGGATGAGTAGTGGCTGGAGCAACCCCAGTGTAAAATGAAATAAACAGAGCTGCACAACATTTGAGGAGGTCCTTTCATCCAGCTAGCAAGATGAAAAGGAGACAACCTGCCTGCCAGGTAGATTTCCCAAAGGCCAAGGCCCTTCCTCTTCCTTGGCACCAGGTCCTCCTGACAGCATCGCTCCACTAAAGCTTGCAAACTAAGGAAACTATACCACTTTGGTATGGACCCAAGAACTTAGTCCCTACCATACTATACCACAGATGCACTGAATGCAAGACTAACTTACAATGTGTTTTGTTTTTTTTTTTCCCTTTAAAAAACCTTGCTTAATAACCCCCTTGCAATTCTGTATAGTCTTATTTTGCCAGCTCTAATTCAAGTTTTTTTTCCATATCCAAAAGTAAATTGGAAATTCTTGATATTTCTCAGCAAGAGTTACTGTTAATCACTTAAAACTTGCATCTTGAAATAGCCTGTCATTTTACTAAACTGTTCTGGCTTCATTCACTACACATATAAATACATATGTTTTTTGAATTTTTTGTTGTCTGGGACATGAAACAACAGAAATGAAATGCACTACACAGTCATATTTATATTTAAAATAACACATCTGTACACGTAAATAATTTTTTTCTATTGCCTGATTCACTAAGCAAAGGCTAATAACTAGGGACACAGTATATATGGCACATCCTTGAAAGTCTGTTTCTAGCCTGGTGCAAATCTCTGGACTTCTGTCCAAGTTCAACACGAAATAACAAAGTCCCACGTGGCAACTGTACCTAAACTGCATCTTTCAGAAGATTTCATTAGTAATTTAAGAGACAGAATTAAAACTAGCTCTATCTATAAAAAATAGAAAGTCATCAAAAACAAGCAAACTAACCATAACACAGATGTTACCACGAAGGAGAATCCATTGAAATCCATTAACTAAGTAAGCTTTATCTAAAGCAGAAGTTTGAACTGCCAAAGTTACAGAGCATGCTCTGAACTACAAGAGAGAAATGCTACATCATCCAATATTCGCATGTGTAGAGGGAGATAGACACGTAAGAGATAGAGAGTAGGGGTTCACTAACACTTTAAATTAAAGCAGAATCAAATTAAAAGAGAACAAATAATAAAAATAATCAAAGGAAGCCTAACAATTCATCCTAGCAATATATTATGAAACTAACAGAACAAAACAGGTTAGTAAATGACAGGAAAAGGAAATAAAACTCACCCTGCTATAAAGGAAAAAGTGCAGGTTTTGGATGAGCTGCAAAATGTCTCTACCTGTGCAGCACGTACAGATTTGTCTCTGCCTCAGTGCAAGGAATAGCACTGTTGCAAAATTAAATACCTGTATCCAAGAGCCATTAAGGTTTTTGCCTCACTGTGCAAAACCACCAGTTTTTTAAGCTAAAAAAATGAAGACCCAGTACAACAGGATATTTAGTATTCTTTACGTTCCTTCTGTCTTATAATAATTTGGATTCTATGTACCATTTCTCTTAATTGTCCAATGCAAACCTTAAACTGTAGAACATCTTAAGTAGAATACTACAATTTGTGATCTTTTTAGGTAAATAACTTGCTGCTATTTCTTGCTGAAAATTATAAGCAAACAGTTTCTGAAATAAGTTCTGAATCTAGCATTTATTCAGACATTTAATGTCAATTGCAAAGGGATTACTTACCTATCTGCCTTAATTTTGACCATATGTGGTCAACAATTTAGGTATTTGTGTATTCATGTCACTTGTCTGTGAGATGCATTAGTCATATTGCCTTTGACCTATTTTTCACGAACAGTGATTCCTCTTCTACTGAGCATCACGACTCAGCCAGCCCAATGACTACAAGCTATGAATTGACAAAAATAGTGCGGAGCCTTAGGGCTATTTATTTGCAAGGACTGATTTCCATATTGAGGAAAAAGGAAAGATAACACACCACAATTTGCCCACATTGGTAATTTTAAATAAAGTCTCATGAATGATTAAAATCCACATGCTATAAAACTCACCTTCACTATCTCTCTGCTGATGCATTAAACTAAAATCAATAATAGGAGAAATGAAGTGATATTGGTCTGACAAAAGAATGACAAAAATAGAATTACATGATATGGCAGATGATCTCACGCAATACAGACATAGAAAAATAAAGAGCATAAATTTACTTGAACAAATTAGACTTAAACTGAAAATAAAGGAATCAGGATTCCTAAAATCTGTCTGAAAAGTACCACTCCTTTGCAGAAAAACAGAGGACTCCAGACATTCCTTCCTGCTCTTTTAACAGGTATCATCCCTTTTTGCATTACATAGCATTTGCATCAGGAAATGGTGTTTTGCATTAGCTCTGCACTGTTTCCCGGAGGATTGCAAATCTGAGATTGAACTGCAAATCACAAGGCTTTCTTATAATTGCAAATGAGAGCACATCATGACACAATCCCTTACCTCCACAACTGGCCCCATCAGGATGCACACTGGTTTGGACTGATGAAGGGGTTGGATCCTTGGGTGCCGGCAGCTGAGGAGTTTCCTCCTGGGTTGGCAGAAATGCAGAGCACAGATCGGTTTCGAGGGCTTGTAGCTTCAACAAAGAATTCTGCAGACAAAAGCAGAACATTGGGCTAGATAGAGAGTAACAAAATACAGAGATAGCTCTTCAACTCACTGAGCCCATCAGAAGCGCCTGCAAAGGGGTGTTCCACTAGCAGCTCTGAGAGGATGTGCAAGAGAACAAACACGCACTATTCCACGAGTTTCCTCACTTCTGGTTATTTAAGTCCCAATTTAAATGGATTATTCGTGACACGTGGGAAAGATGACATCGTCAGCAAAAGACAATTTATTCTAGGAAGGCAAATTGAGATGGTGTCCCTTTTCTTGGTCTTGAAGCAATACACTAAGCAAGTATTTCATTCATTGGGCTGACATCACGATCTGATGATATTATGTCCCTCCCCATTCACCATTCATAAAAAAAAAAAAAAAAAGGTATCCCTCTCCAGCCTATTGTGCAGTACACAGCAGTGAACAAAGAGTTACTGAGAACACACTCCCTCATGGGATTCTTGGAAGAGATTTTTTTTGATTGGCTTTTTAGAGATACTTCTTTATGTAGACATTGCTTTTATGTAGGTGGCTGCTGCTTCTACAGGGCAAAAAGATCATTTCTGATCTGCTGCAAAGGCAAAATTGGCAGATCATTGTCACTTGCTGCAGACAAATCAATGGGAATGAGACCCGTTATCTATAACATCACTTCCAGCTACTGTGCCGTGCTTGGTCCATTTCTCATTTTAATCTTTAATGCTGCAAGCGATATTCAGCTGTGCAATCTGACACAAGCATCTTGCTGTGATGTAAACGCTGTGAAAGCCCTAATCACCATCCAACTGGGCGAAATGACTCACTATTGATACCCTGTGCATTCAGCTCCCCTTTCTCAAGGGAAATACAGCTTGCAGCTTAAAACAAAAACACACAAGGCTGTCTTAATAATCACACAGCTGGCACATTAGGAACATACATAAAATGTTAAATCACTCAAATGGTACATATTTGTAAAGAGCATTTTCTGAAAAAAAAAATATATATATATTAGTCATAACAGAAAAAAATATTCCGTAAGTTCATACCCTAAAATGCTCCTTTTTCCCTACTGCATCAAAGATCTGAACCCAATTTATTGATTCATTTAAAGAAATAATTTATTTATTGGAATAATTTCTCTTGTGTAAGAATATATCACCTATTTAGTAACTAGTTTAATATATTTGTACATTATTTTAATTGTAATACAGCTGTTTTATAAGCCCAAGAATGTTATAAGCCAGTCTTTTTTTTTTTTTTTTTTTTTTTTTCCTTAAAGAAGGTAAATTAATTTGAATGAAAACAGCAGGGAAGACTTTCAGCCTTGATCCTTTTATAGAATTCAGGCAGTGAAAAGGGATTGGAAAGCAGCTCTTTCAAGGAGATACCTCAAAATAGGGAAGTTTTGAAAAAGCAAAAAGTGATTTTTCCCTGTGAAACTAAGTATGCTGGCTTGAATGGGCACCCATGGTGCTGGTTCTTGAAGAATTTTCATGACCCATAGGGCTTCATTTTCTACAACCTCTCACCCCACCTAGACCCAGTGTGGCTGTGGAGTTACCACAGCAGATGGGCAGTGTTTTACAGTAACTATACAATTTACACACTAGTGAGAATTCTGATCCCAGCACTGACCTTATCGCACGGACTGCTGATAGCAAGCACCTTTCCAAAATTTGCAAGTGAGTCTCTAAGTCTCCCAGTATGGAGAACATAAACAAATAACTGGCAAAAACACCTAACCTTCATGGACTTCAGCATTTGAAAAAAAAAAAAAAATCCCAAGTCAAGAAAATACACTTATTTTGCATCACTATTTCTTATGATACATTAATATTTATGGCAAGCTCAGTATAAGAGCATTCACACAGACTACATTGTTAAACACTATTTCAGCAATGCCTGTGGTGTAATTCACCAGCTGGTTTATACTGAGTTTTATGTGACTTCAGACTTGATGCTCATTCCAACTTTATTCTGGTGCCTGCCACTAGTGCTATGCAATAATTCCTGATTCGTGTTAATAGAAATGAAAGGACATATCAATATTTGAAATGGATCCTTAAGTTCATTGGAAAGAAAACCAATACCGTCACCTCTTAAGAACAGTATTTTGCAAATTTGAAAAAGAAGCAATTATAATTGTCTTGGGAAAGGGTTTCTTATATTCGCTGTCCTCTTAAAGTAACTGACAATTCAAATAACTTGAGCTATATCAATTCCACTAGTGGAAGAAGAAACAAAATCCTGCATTATTGCAGATCAAAGATAATGGAAAAATGTAGACATTTACAGGAAGTCCAAGGAAAACAGAAAGAGATGCAGCGTGGTATTTCATTCCTATTTGTAATACCTGCTACTGCTTTAAGAAAACATAGTCATTAAAGTATCATACTCTTGTCTGCTGGAGAAAAAACAGTACAAAAGGATCACCATTTGCTGAGGAAGTTCAGTCCTGCAGTAAAGAAGCCATCTTTACAAACCAGCAAGCTTGTAGACTGTATCCACTGACCATCTCTCTTTCCAGCAAATGATTATTAAAAATCAAGAGTTGAGGCCTTAGGGTAAGGAATTATTGAGATGACAGATAACTTCTTATATCTAAAGATAAATACCACGCACCTATACTCACACTGCTATATCACTCTGGACAACGTGACGCTGAATGAACAAATGTGCCCTGTTTATCACCAAAATTCTCTGGCAATGAATGCAAGTCCCATGGAATAGCTTTATATATATATGTATAAAATTTATTTAATTTTTTTAATTGGTGCTATCAGTACCTGCCTCTCCAGCTGAAGGTCTCCTACATGGGGCCCTGTAACACCAGCCCTATGCGCTGTGTCAGTCAGCATAACCAGGGAGCTGCAGCCCAAGGGAAAAAAATGTGCCAAATGGAGTCTCACAGCACAACAAAATTTCCCTTGTTGCACCAAGGGCTATGGTACCATTAAGCCTGTGAATTAATCAGCACTCACAGCAAATCACCAGAGAAAGCCAATAGCTACCAATGGCCGAAAAAGAGCCATTGCTGTTAGAAATAGTTTTGCTCCCTGTTTCATTTGATTCCTGTGGAAATGTAAGATCTGGTAAATTTAGGAACTGAGGAAAGAGGGAAAGGGATTGGGTCTGCCCCTTCCCATAGACCCTGCCCAGTGTCAGAAAAGCCTGGGCTTGCTGCAGTCGATGTAAGTTGAAGCTGCCTTTCCCCGCACAATGTTTCTGAATATTCAGGATGGCTGCACCCTGCCCCTGGGCCTGCTCCTGCTCCTGCCCACCCTGGGACAGGAAGGCAGCTATTCCACTATATCCTGTTTATTGACGGGTTTACTGGATTTATGAAATCAGCTGGGGCAGAGAAAGAGAATAATCCAAGCTTTCAGAATTTAATGGCCTTTGAAGTGATTCATACGGAAGGGAAACTGAACAAATATCAGCCTGTTCAATTTCCTCACCGTAAGGAAATTAAAAGCAGAGCTAGAGCAGTGACATACAAAAGCATCTCCCTTGCCTTTTAATCAGAGAGTTGAGGTTAAAATAAGATAGGTGTATTTTATATGAATATAAATAAATCTGTGGTATCTGCTAGGGCAATTCTTGTGTCTTTAGGCAAATGACATTTTCAATTCAAAATTTCCCTTATGAGGAACAAACAAGCAACTATAAGATAGAACAAGATATGCCTGGGTTTGTACAATGTCACAGGTGACCAGTGAGGAGAGACAACAATTTCTCTAATGCAAGAAGGGAACTTGTTTTCTAATGGCACATTTCCATTTGGGTTTGAGGGAGACCTGAGATATGCTACAATCTAAGATTTTGCAAAAGAAAGTTAGCACCAGAATGTAGATCTTGTTCATTCCCCATAAATGATTTACATTTTATTTTCTGATCTATTTATTTGTTTTAGTATCTCAGTTTTTATTATATGTTATCTTAACCTTTAAGGAATCCTTTGTAAGAATTTTAAATCTTGTAATTTAAATCTTGTGTGTAGCCAGGAGTTGGACTCAAGGACTCTTGTGGGTGCCTTTGACCTCAGGATTTTCTATGATTCACCAATTTTGGTTCTGGAAATTCTAGTGAAATTTGCAATGGAGCTTCTCAGAAGAAATGATTATTTAGTAATTTCTCCCAGGACCTTAATTGGCTTGACCAGTGCTGAGAATGCTCCCGTATATTGGTCACAGAAAGTGCCTAGTTATTATCAGGATTTTCAACAGTGAGCTGCACAACGATGACACAAATGCACAGGAAATAATTAAACGTAAGGAGAAAATTAAGTCTGAATTCTTTCAAAAGGACACAACATTGTGGTTTTCTCCTAATGAAAGTCAGGCATCTATTAAGAGGCATAGATATTCAGTGGCTCATTATGGAAACAAAGCTGTTTTTCCATGGTTTGACAGGACTAGACTTCATTTTCTCCACCTGCCTTTATTGTCATCTTATTCTACACTTAAAATTTTGTCTGCTCCTTGTTTAAGTCCAAGCATGTTTGCAGTTCTATCTTCCAGTATTAAGTTTGCTCTATGCTAGTATGCAGATACCCTTACTTGTGGAAGATGCTTTATAATGTTTGCCATTTTCAATAACTGCATAACTTGTTTTTGGCCTTCCGCATATTGCCTTGACTGTGACAGTTTAGCCCAGGCTCATCCATGGTCACACTGACAGTTTCTTTGTGCTCTTCTCTTATGCTGTGCTTCTGACATAATTACTATGAAAAAAGCTCCCGTTTCGAGTGTTACAGGTATTTCCTGGCTTTCCTTGCTTTCTCTCTTTCCTCCAACTCTCCCCTCCTACTGACAAGCCTACCTTTCAGAATACATTGTACAGTTCATAGTTTATTTATACAGGATGTAGCAACCTTGAGACCTTATTTTTAAACAAAACATAATTGATGGTTGAACATATTTAAGCTGTAATATGATGAAAAAATCAAACGTTCTTGCAAGACGTCATTTCATTTAGTCAATACTCAATGTTTAATTCTTTTCCGATCACAGACAGAAAGCAGCATAGCTCACTTAAAACATTTTTAAAATCTCTTGCTTCCAACTTTTAAAACATTATAGTAGTCTTGCATCACATTATTATGCTTTTCTCCAAAAACATGACTAGAATGATTCATTAAAAAGCTAACCTAAAATTCACAAGTGATTACATTATTCCAAGAGCTGAGAATTAACGAAAAACAAATATTTGATTCAAAATTTGTAACACCATATTTCAACTTTCGGTTACACTCACCTCACTTAAGCTGTGCAGTTGCTCTGTTGCTTCCTTTTGTGAAATATATGCTTTCTGATCTAGACTACAAAATAAAACAAGAATTTTCACTCAATAAATTGCTTGTATGTGCTGCAAATATTTTAAACTTTTCATCATGTCTATACATAAATTGCAAGTTACAGGGTATTTATTGAAAAAATAACATTTCTATGAAAGTTACTTCTGTATTTTATACCTCATGCAAAAAACACTGGTGATTTTATGGAATTCTACATAATATATTTAAACTCTGAATGAGAACCTGGAAACTATAACTTTGAAGTGTGGACTCACTCTGTCATACAAAGAGTCCTGTGGCAGCATGATTGGCTCTCAGCATCATAAGTTAATAGGGTTAGAGCCAAAAATAAGTCCAAACATTTAAACCTAAGTACCATTTGTCCCACATGCTTTAAGTTAAGAACAAAAGTTTTCCTGTATCAGAGCCATAAAGAATAAATTTTTCTGTATTTCTACTTGATGGTATTTTAGGCTCCCAGTCGTCAACTTTCTGCTTAAGTACTCTTGCAAATTTCATAGACTCACAGGACTCTCAAGAGGAGCTGGAAAACCTTTAAACAATAGAGATTTCCATGTGTTCATAGCTTTGCTTTTCTCTCAGTGTATCACCACTTCTTTGTGCAGAAATAGGAAAGGAAGGTCCTGGGCCAACAAGGGGAAAATCAGTCAGCTTCCCGCTGACTACCTAGAGAGAGGATTGTTTCATATCCATGCAAATGTAGTCATTTCCTAGGGATCCACATGCACAACAGCTTCAGGGTTAGTTACAGTCATCTATCAAGGACTGAAACTGAAGCCTAATAAAAACCTGCAGTGGATTAGGTGAGAAACCTGCAAAGCCTGATACCACAGTTCTATCATTTCCTAAAGCAGAGGCTCTCTTTCCACATAAAACTTCAAAGATTGACATGGGTGTATCACAAGTTGACTTGCAACAACAGCATTCAGCTGAAGCAAGAAAACCATTGCTGTCTCAGAGAACGAGATTTCTCATTACTGAAAAGGTGGCAATATTTGTTCAAGACTTGTCCCTGCAAGAACTCACTCGTGGATGTGATCAAAATCATTACAATATGCGGATTCCCTTGGACAAATAGTTCATATTTTTCAACGTATCATGCTCAGTCTCATCCCAGCAAAACCAAGCAGTTTTTAAAGTCTCTAGAGACAACAAAGTACAGAGAGATAAACACAGTCTTCTGTGTAGTTCTTAACCAAGAACTATATAGTTCTTCATAGATTTACAATGCATTTGAAGACTGAAACATGCAAAAAGTCTGCCACAAAAACTTTCTATACTAAAGTAGACATGATAGTCATAGTACAATGAACATCCACTTGCCTTCAAAAAGGCTCTGAGATGTGCAATTTCTGTAGGAACAAAAAGGAGCCATTTTGGTGGTGGTACATGTAGCACCAGCATGGGGAGGCCTCACAGGCGAGCCAGCCTAAACCTCACTGAAGATATATTGCTCAGAAGTGCATGACTGATTGCTGAAGGCACTTAAGCAGCAAGGTGCCTTTGGCTGACTGTTGTACCAGCATCTATCGGTATAGCTCACCACATGTATATTTTTTGTGCTATTTCTCCTAAAAATGAATAGCAAACATCTCTGTAGTGTGAAGAGAACAGAAGGAAAACCAAATTACAGAAGCAAAGAGATTGATGCCTAACAACTGATCTCTAGCTTTTACCCAGCAGCAATAACAGTATGAGGCAGCAGAAAAGTTTTACAAGACTATGAAATACCATGGGGAGTCAAAGAACTAACTGAATAGGGAAAAGTGAAATGTTCATAGTTTTGTTGTTTTGTTTAATAACATATAAGGAAGGACCTGCAAGACTACAAACAGCTGAAGAATCAATCCATTAATGAAGATAAAAATATTTAGAGTGATTTATGACATTGAACAAGTGCTAGACAAGTGGAAAGGAAGAAAAAGACATGTCAAATTTGTTCTCTTCTGGTATTATTTGGATGACTCTTTTCAGGGTGCATCAGATGCAGCAGAACTTAACCTACCTCAGCAAAAGAAAACAAAAAAGCTAAAGAAGGACATTAGCAGTTCTTATAGATGCAGGATGATATTCTACATAATTCATGGCTATATCACTCATGAATCTTGCACTCTGGAGGGTAAAAAGTTTACAGCATCCCTGCAGTACTATCTGTCTCATTCAGGATAATGTACTTGTCTACTGTTTTAGGGATGCAGAAGTCTTGCATTTTATTCTTTTTATTTCACTAAAAATACTGGAATAAGATGTTCTTAGCTTTACGTTCTTTGGGTTCAGAAGATGCTAAATGTTTTTTCTGAAATCCTTAACATGAATAAACATTTACAGCCATCTATATATGCTGAGTTAATCCTATGCTATAGAGTTTTGGGGTGTGCTTCTTTGTTTTCACCAAGATTAACCGCTCTGCTAGGCAAATGCAGGTTATCTGATTGTCACCAGGCAACAAAGGGCTTACAATTTAATAACTAAGGGTTGGATCCTACTCTCATTAAAAGTCAATCACAAATTATCCATTAACTTCAAAAGCAGCAGTAGGAAGCCCTAATTTTCCATCTGTACTGAGAACATTAAAATTATTTTGAACTGCAGCTGAAATTTTAAATAATTGCAGACAACCCTTATTTTGTATTATTGACGTCACATAAAATAATGAAAATGTAATTCTCTCTATAACTACTATTCAAATATGTGTAACATAATTCTTCACAAAATATAAAAAGCCTGATCTCTCACCCTTCCTGCAGTCTGGCAACTCTGGCTTTGGCAGAATTACTGTATTCTGCTATGGCACAGATGACAAAGATTCAATCCAATACCATGTACATTTGAAGCTTGTGGACATAAAAAAAAAAAATCTAAATGTTAATTATCATAACAGAGCTCCTAACAGACTTCAAGGAGAGGATGAATTTGCATGAACAGTGAGCTGTTTAAAAAAAAAAAAAAAAAAAAACAGACCAAAACATGTAAAGTATTGAATTATGCATGATGCCACTTCTAAACCCATATAAAATTCAAATAAAAACACATAATTTTAAAAACTAGGGAAAATGTTTAAACATAACCTAAGCAAATTCAATACTTATTTCCCAGACTAAAACCAGAAACGAGCATTAAATTCTATAATCTTGACATCTCCACCCTTTACGCTCCTCCCAGTTCTACCTCGGATTAGGACTAGATTCCTGTATGTTTAAACCTGTGTAACCCTGGATTAGTCTAACACCATTCTCTGGAGATGTTTATACACCACAGTGCCACATGCGCTCAGCGTCTTGGGCCAAATAATGCATTAGAGGTGCCATTAGTGACACCTCCTTGAAAGCAAACTCTACTCTGTGCTGTGGATTGAAACCTTTTCTCCAGATTCACTTTCAGTCTGTCCTGGACCCATATTTCTTCCTCATCTCCAGTCTATCAGTTTTACCCTGCCCACTGTGAGAATGGCCTGCCAGGAGAACAGCTCAGAAAGTGTAGTCTCAGTACCATGTCAGGGGACTGACTCAGCCTATCCAGAGGTTACATTACATGGGTTCACAGAATGGCAGACCTCACAACCAACACACTTCAGCATCAGGGAAATGGAAACATCATTGCTGAGACCCACAAATGGCAAAAAGCACTATAAAATTCAATCGTACTCACCACCTCATACAGAGCTGCAAGCAAATGCTTAAAAAGCTGGCTTACGAATCTTTAAAAAGCAAAGCAGAACCACAACAGGCTTTTGGATTAAAATAAAATGTGGACTCTCAATAAAACATCTTTAAGGGTACAAGACTGCTTGGACACATCCTACGCTACTCTATTGGCAGTCCCTGAATGCTGTAGCAAGCAGACATCCAGAGAGCCAGCAGAGCAGTGTCTGTCTCAAGTTGCAGTAGTTAAAGGCTGGCTGTGGACCACCATTATCTGCTTTTCTTATTATGAGTGCCTCTCATACTCACCAGCCACAGTCCTTATTTGGGCTACAGGAATATGCTTTTTTCTTTTTCCCCTTTGTCATCCCACCACAACTACTGCTGCCTTTTTTTAATTATTTATTTTTTTTTAAGTGGATGGCAACCCAAGAGTTTGCTCATGGATTTTCCATTTCTTGATACAAGAAGTATCACTGGCACCTTATACACCAATATTTTAATATCAATACTCCTGAAGAAACTGCTTTTAGGAACTGATCCATCATTTCCCAGAAAAACAGTATTTCATCAGCAAATCAAGATTTGCTGACACAGAGGTAAGCACAAACACAGACTGGTCGTGATGAATTTTCGCCGGATCTGAGGTAATCTGGCCAGGTTTTCTCCTGGCTTGCCTGGCCACCTGCATGGGAATGAAGCCTCCCCAGCTCAGCCTCACCCATGAGGCTCCACAACATGGTATGGGGACATCAGCAATTCTGCATCTTCCCTGCTCTTTCTGACGCATCTCTGAGATGTATCTGTTGGAAGTATGGAAGATATCAGTCACCACTTGAACTGCACTCGAAAGCTATTTGCCTTAAAAACTTTGTTACTGAAAGCCCTGCTAGAGCTCAGCCTCCCATGGGGGAGCACAGACATCCTGGGAGGTTCTGGCTGAGCCCCAGATCCAGGGAAGCCCAGGGCTCTCAGCATTCCCAGGTTTCCTGGAGAAGAGCTGTAGGTCTGACAGCAACAGCTATCCTGAAACTTCTGCAGAAACTGCAGTCCAACCCAGGGACAAGCTGGGTCCTACTGAATGAAACTGTTTCATTTCTATTTTGTTTGGGGAATAGGAAGGAGGGGAAATTTTTTCTTTGTCAGGAAAAAAAATGTAGTTCCCCCACTGACTTGAACACGAACTTCTCTGAAAAACTGATATTCCCACTGCCCAGGAGTCCCATGCTTCAGCCCCCTGTCTAACAAATATCTGAAGAAAACACCATCCTCCACTCAGGTAAACTGCGGGCTCAGCTCTACAATCCAGATTAGTTTTGCTGATTGACTTTAAGAAGGCAATCAGTAAGAGCAGCTTTTTGTAATCATGCAAAATCATACATGCTTTCCTGTTCTCTGTTAAAGGAAAAAAAAAAAAAAAAAAAAAAGACAATTCTCTTTATTGCACCATTTGTTCCTGGGGCTTGCATATAATTTTTACCTCCCAGAGGTGCAGATTATATTATACTCTTATCCAAATCCAACTGCACACAACGTCTAGAGCAGTATTCAATGTAATCAGTGGCAACAGCATTAGAAATTCATGTTCTTCTAATAAAATGCAAAGGCTTCCATCTACACAAATGGCATTTCACATTCTAAATTGATGCTGATTTTCATAAAATTATGCACTATAAACACCTCAAAGTTAAAAACCTTGATTCACAGGGCAAATACAGCTTAGCCAAGAACAAGACAATATCCCTTCATTCTTCTGTTTCAAATGCAATAGATATCCTTAAATCTCTTCACCAAGTACATTCTCCTATTTCTCCCAAATCCCACTAACTTTTCCTTCACTGTTTCAGTGGTTGTGAGTCATTATAAAGTGAAAGCACCCAACCAACAAACAACCCCTCCACCCTAACAATCTATGCATGCACTTGTGCCCTATATCTATGAATTGTTTCTCTTACATTGCGAGTTCTGCTATTCTGTCACGTATCTGTTTATGAAATTCCTGTGTTATGTCACCCTGAATTTAGATTGCTCTGCTAAATGGGGACTGTGCCCAAAAGTTTCTTGTGTCTCAGCAGTTTTTATCCATATCTAGTCAAATTAAAACTGACCTGGTTTTGCACTGACTAGAAGAGATTTCAAAAACTCCATACAGTTCAGACGTATTTAGATTTTAAACTCCAATGAGACTCATTACAGAGCTATAGCAATATGAAGAAATTATATTATAGAAAGAACAAGGACGCTTACTAGAAATAATCCACCTTAGTCTGAGACAGAAATAAATCCTTCCTCTCCTATCTTCCCCATACACATCAGATAGACAGAAGAGCCTGACCAGTGGCACCCCTGCAGTAGTGTGGTCATCTCCTCTTCTCTAAAAGACCAGAAAGCTTCTGGTCTGTGAGTTACGTATCCTAGGAAGTTGCAACATTCCAAAGAACTTTCACTTCTACCAGTAACCTAGCAAAACTCAACTAGAAGATAGAGAAACTCAAGTTTTGCAGGGCTAGCAGATGCATTCTGTCAAAATCTAACTATGACCGTTGTCTGCTCCCAAGCCTAAATACCTAACCTTTGCCATGTTCCAGAACAGAGAAGGCAGAAAACAAGGCAAGACATCATAGCTCAGCAGCTGTATTTCACAGCCCATTGCACAAGCCAGTTCTGGGATCCTGACACAGCAGCCAGTGATCTGCACAAGCTGAGACATGGGCACATAATGACTCTCTGGCCCAGTCAAAGCCTACTGCTGGCAAAGAGATGAGGCAAGCTGCTGGTAAATCTTAAGAGGAGTCACCAGTCAGAGTGACTCTGAAACTGAAAGTGTTAACCTCAGCATAAGCAATTCAAAGTCCTCTGCCCTAGCTGGGTGGTGGGAAAGTTAAGACAGCTGAAGTGAATGCAATGTGTGTGTGAGGCCAAGGACCATGAGTTAATGTGTTCACTCCATGCTCAAAGTCCCTTTTTTGGCAGCAAAATCAACTGCATTTTGTTTTAATAATGAAACTAAGACATGGCCAGAACTGGTATGTGATCACTAAGCTTTCACAGCTCTCAGCATGATAAATCGAGGTGCCACTATTTAACAAACTTGGCACTTGTGGATAGCCAGCTTCCTAAGGAACTACCAAGGTGTTAAACAGAAGTAAATAGCACAGCGAACAGCAGTTTCATACCGGGCAAACTGAAAAGGCCAAACAGTTGAAGTGCACTGGGTAACTTTCCTGTGGTTGCTGTTTAATTCATACACGCTATGGCTTTTATGTTGAAAGTCCATCTTTCTTTCGTTACGTTTCTGTTACCAGTCATGTTACTTCCTTATCTATCCTAACACAGATCCTACCAGCAGAGCGTTGGGTAGGTCTAACTCTCTAGTACCAAACTCACTATTCTCCTCTCGACAAGTAACCCATGTGATTTTTTCCTAGGGTAAAGAATGCCAGAGATGTAGAAGGCAGGTTTCCTAGGCTAGGGGTAATTAGAAACACTTTCTGATATGCAGGATTTGCAGTGTCTCAATTGCAGATACAAGCATTGGAGGGTGAATATAGTTCTTTCTGAAAGCTAATTAAATGCTTGGTCATTCTGCTAAAGTTTCCTTTGAGAGCACAAATTAAAATCATTTACAACATTGCCTACTAAAGACTGTCATGAAGGCAACCAGATAAAAGCATCATAAAGCATCAAAATACCATCGGATGGCAACTGTTATAACTGACCTAGCACCAGCTTGAGACAGGCCTTGAAGGCAATGAGCTGTGTGTGCCCACTAGCTGTGTCCTGACCCACTGATCATCCCCAGGGCATACAGCTGCTGCTCAAGTCCCCTCCAAAGAGAGCCAGAGCCTCTGTCACGCTGCAGTGGAAGCACTCAGAGCACCAAGCCTGCCACGCACCTTCAGGCAGAGAACAGAGATCAGAGTCCTGGCTCACCTGCCTGAAACTCTACGTGCACAGCAAAGCAGGGCTGATCCAGCACCTCAGCATGGGAAATCTATAAAGCAATACCCTGAAAACTGATGACTCTGAAGAGCATGACCTTATTGACACAGTCCAAGCCCGTCAGTAAGAGCTAAATCTTATCCTTGGGACGTTCCTTTGCTGGTAGGTCGGGTCAGCTGGGTGAGGTGAAGCCCCATTGCCAGCCTTTTGCAGAGCTGTGAAGGATTGGGAATGGAATTCTGACTCCCAGTAGTTACCAGAGGTAGGTTACTTCATGATCTGCTGGGTTGCCTGTAAACAAGAGCCAGCTAACTCTTGACCTGAATGTGCCCCCCTATCCTTCCATACCCTTCACAGCATTGAAACAAGCACAGTTCCATGGTGCTCAGGGTGTAAATGATATGTAAATGTATACATACCCATGGTAAAATCAAGTGTGTGGCTTCCCATTTCTCAAGTGGGAATACAGCTCTGAGAAAGACTGAGGCAAGTCAGCGGGCGGGGGGGGAGGGGAAGGGTATTGAGCTATTGAGCTATTTTTGAAACTTAGCATTGGCACACAGGAACTGAAATTTCTGATCTGAGGATGTTTTTCCTGTTTGAAATTGAAGCGGTTTAAAGAAAGATAAAATTTGCATTCTTATCTTCATCCCTTTCATTTTCTCCAAACAGTTCTAGGCACATAAATACAGAATACAACTGCCAATTGGGAGCCAGGAGTCTGAATATTTTATATGAAAGGCAACAAATGAATTAGCCTTTCCTAGAATTAATCAGAAATGAAATGCACTGTCTTATCCCAAAGCTTACCTTGGTTGAAACCTCACGACTTCTTCCTGGCATCTGAAAGACACGTTCTGTGCATAGTCATTAGCTGAGGATCCTTCCTTCTCCTGCCTGTCTGAGAGGCCTGGCAATGAGCTCTCCAGCTCCTGCAGAAAACAACAAAAATGTTCAATGTCCTGTCAGTACTGATCAAACTCAGCTGAATATTTTGCTTTAAGGAAGAAAGAGCTTCATGGGACTGGATGCTGATTTGTGGTTCATTGTTGTTTTTTGGTAACAATCTGCAAACAATTGGAAAACACAGAGTAGAAAAGGTTTTAAACAAAAAAGTGTCATTCACTGTAAAATGCGTTTTGAAACCAAAGCAGACAAGAAGCTACTGTAACCCATTTGCTGTTTATTAGTTAGGTAACATATGTCAGCATCTGAGCTAAGAGGTGCTGCACACAGAGTTCAATATTTTTTGCTTATTTATAAATTTACATTTAAATTGAAATTATTTCTTCATATGTCAGTAATATTTCTTTGCTTGGGCATAATCAGAAAAATTTTGGCTGACAAAAGCAAATTCAGTTCACTTAAATACAATTTGTAAAGTTTACCCAGCGTCTTGTTCCTATTGCTCTTTCCCTTCCCCAGCATATTCACAGCTTAATGAATAGAGTATTTCTGCAGAAGAGTGAAAATCAGTGAGCAAAATAAAATAAATAAATAAATAGATAGATAAAAATCAGACATCTAGCCAAAAAGGAAATAAAAAAGGCAATTTATGCAACAAGTCAAGGCCAGAACTAGGAATTAGAAAGGAACACACGTGACTTCAAGTTTTCAGAAACCAGTTGTATGTCTGTGACAATTTATTTAGCATGTTTTAATTTCCTTACCTATAAAATGGGTTATAATATTTCTCTTGCATTGAAAAGGGGTAAGTCAATGAAGGTTTTTTCAAATCAAAGGGTTTTTTTTTACTTTATTAGCTTTTATCAGCCAATATTTTATTCTGCTCATTTTCAAAATTAAAATGCAATGTGTTTTGCAAAACAACGCATTCACTTCCCCTGGTAAAACAATGTTCATGAGTTTGCTCCAGTCTCAAAGCTTAGATGCAAGCTTGAAAGTCAGAAGATTGGATCGGGCTGCTTGGATGGGAATTTGGAGTGCTGAAGTCATCCTGCACTTACAAAAAACATGGCTGCTTTTCACTTCCTTCTTATCTTGTTCTATCTTTACAGATTATGAATGAATCGTGCTTAGAGATACACTATTTAAACAGAAGTAAATTATTATTTTATAAAATTGCAAACTCTACTAAAAGTTATAAAATTCAAGAAAGTTGCCTAAATGATCTTCTCTCTGGAGAAATATTCAGTGCTTGCTTCTTAAAATTAATGTGGAAGGACTAAAGGAACTTGTAAAAAAAATGGTAAAAAATAAATAAATAACAAGTCAAATCATTGGCATTTTACTTCCTTTTTATGATGATATTTTAACTATATTCTTACAATTTATTTTAATCTAAGTCCTCTTATAAAGTACCAGGATACTTGTTGAATAAGGGAATATTAATTTCTACTTAGTCTATGAGATCTGTAAAAATATGCCTGTACTGCATTCACAGAGGTGTAAATATTTGTGCTTAGATGTGCTTAAATTCAAGTTGACGACAACAGCTGTTAAAACAGGCAAAAATAAAACTTTGGGTACTATGTAAATGATCAAAACAAGTTTAGCAATTTTATCTTGAGGCTGAAATCTTCTCAGTGTTGGACTGTTTAAATTATTCAGTTCCAAATAGCCAGTCCAGTTGAAAGTGCTAAACCAAACCTGCATTTGGTAAGTGGTAAACTTGCTTCAGCAGAAGCCTCTTTTGCAACAAGTTCCGCTCTCCACTATCAGCAGAGAGAAAATGACAATTCAAGATGTTCTCTGCTAGGTGAAAGTTGAGGACCATAATACATGGGGTGTTTTTTTTGTTTGTTTGTTTTGTTTTTTAATTATTATTATTTTTGTGGTGGTGGTGGGTTTTGGTTGTTTGCTTGTTTTGTTTGTAAGTTAGGATGTTATAGAAAAACCCTAGAGAATCACCCTTGATGGGATGACTGTTTCTTTAGAGCAACAAAATCCCTTTCTGCTGTGTCAGAGGCAACAAACAGCATAGAGCTGTCTTCCATTTTATTTTTATTTATTTTGATAGGACAAGGAGTAATGGTTTTAAACTAAAAATGGGTAGATTTAGATTAGATATAAGGAAGAAATTCTTTACTATCAGAGTGGTGAGGCACTGGCACGGATTGCCCAGAGACGTGGACACTGCATCCCTAGAAGTGTTCAAGGCCAGGCTGGCTGGGGCTTTGGGCAACCTGGGCTGGTGGGAGGTGTCCCTGCCCATGGCAGGCAGCTGAAACTGGATGGGCTTTCCCTTAAAACCCAAAACAATTCTATGATTTTCTTTCTTCTTCACTATGGATTGATGCTTCTCTAGTCAGGCTGCATTTGGTAAGCAGTTTGTGAATGGGGAAATCTCCAGGCAATACTAACTAGACTCAGTGCTATGTAATCACTGCTATGAGCTTTGCTTTATACACAAAATAATACACAGGTTTGGAAGCAGCCAAAAACTACCATCATACACATGTTGAAATAAATCAGTTTCTGTTTCACATGCTAATATTTTTTTAAATGTTTTCCTCCAGTCACAGCATATCATAAACCATCTCTGTCACAGCATCTGAATTATGGTACAGACATACAAACTTGCACTGTGTTTACACAGCAGCTTATCTGCTCTTGAACCCCAAAAAGTGCCTTGCAACCTTAATATGCCCTATCCAACACACAAACACTTCTAGATCTCTCCAAATGCAAATTCCTGACTGTGATTCCTGCCCCTGGGAATACTTTACCAGCACATGGGACCAGAGCTCTGGTATACTTCATAGTTCTGTGTCAATACAGAAAATAGCCAGGACTAAAGTCCTGAGCAGAAGTGCCTCCTACACCTCCTGAAAACACCAGTCCACACAAGAAAAAAGCAGATGTATTTAAAAGACAGTGAACGGAACAGATTTAATCCATGACGGGGTATAATTTGAACATAAACAGAGTATATGTAAAAAACAAAGTGGAACCTGATATGTTCATGTGCTCGTGTGGCTACTGTCTTTGCACTGGCCCTGATTTTATATATTTATTTTTTCTTCTGTGTATTTAAAACCACAACTTTAATACTGGAAGTCCTCTGAAATTAATGTAGGTTGATAACTTAAGTTTATACTCAAAATACAAAATTTCACACAGCAGTTGTCAGCATTCCCATCTCTGGGTAACTATTGTTAAGCCACCATTTCATTTTAATAGTCATTTACCTTAATAACATGACTTAAAAACTGAACTTATTATACCAAATAGGTAGTATGTTTAGTGTCATCATATAAAAATATCTCAATATCAATGAGGATTCAGAGGATGAATTAATTTAATAATCTATTTTCATGAATGTGTATTAACAGGGAGTAACCAGAGAAAGGATTAGGCAAGCAGAGCAGACTATCTATTCCTCACCATCTGTTCTTACACTGAACCCCTGAACTATTTTCTAAGTGTATGCTTCCTTATCTCTTGAAGCCCCCCCCCAAAATAATTAATTTGATTTTCTAGAAATAAATATTGCAGAATTACTAAACAGAGCTCATGAAACCAGGGAAATAGTGAACCCAAGTAGCTGGAATACAAAGTTATAGCCACATTCCAGCAGCCTGCCCCGTTCCCATACTTTGGAAAAGTTACAGATGCCCCCATGCCCAGCTCCAACCTCCACACCCAGTTTCTGCATCCAAAGAAATTACCAGATGCAATATCCAAGAAACAGCTTTACTGTAGTGAGTTTTTATCAGTTGATGTTTTGTCAACTGATGTCATTCAGTACTGCACTTTTATTAGACTTGGTCTTGTTAATCATCATTGGAAATTCAATAACCTTTTCTTCATCAAGACACAACCACATATACTACATGACCACAGTATTACACTTGTGTAGTAAAAATCTTGTGTGATAAAACTTGTGTGATAAAAATCAGAGGCACAGAAATCACACTTCAGCAGACACACTTCTGAGCCTCATGAAGCTCAAAATCCCCAAGATGGCCATCTTTCCCCTACTTGAGCAGAGATCTGCTCCCTCTCAGTGACCTTTCTACAGTGGAAATCCCCTGGATTCTCGCTAGCAGAAAGGCATACAAAATCGTTTCCATCCAAACAGACTTTAATCTTTCCAACACATGCAGCAAACTTATTTACCAAAAGCCTGTTCCAATTTTAAAGGGACGAGTTTCTAAAAATACAGCTCACAGGATTATAACACAGAGTTGTGAGTAGCAAGCGTTCTTGACTTATCAGAGCAACATCTTTAAGAGACACTGCCACTGTAATATTGTCATAGTCTCTTTTTTATGCCACAGAGAACTCAGGCTGGGGAAGTGAGGCTGCTGAAAAATTACAGTATCAATAAACACAAGAAAATAAGGATGAACAGTTTAATCACCATTTGCAGCGCATCATACTTTTCTTTTACAATGCTTGTACTCAGTTATTGCTGTTTGTCAGCTTGACATCAGCTGCTTTTAAGTACATCATTTATCTCACTGAATGGCTTGGTGGCAAACTGTTTCACAAAAGGAAGGTATATGCAGTTGCACAGTGTTTCAAAGCATCAGTCTGTCCCACTTCCCCGGGTAACAACAGCCTGCTGTTTACACAAACCCAAGAGCTACTAGAAAAAAACACAGCAGCACCTCACTTTCAGCTTCAAAATGGAGAGAAGCAGATGCAACCAGCTTATGATTAGGACTGCTAACACAGACAGCTGCAGTAGTTTTTTGAAGGTCACAACACACCAAGGATCTCAACGAGAACGCCTCACACACAAACACTTTACAGAGCACTTCTGCAAGCAGTCTAGTTTTTTCACAGGCACCTTAAACAAAGCCACGAGCCAAGTGCTTGCTTCTTCAAGAACCAAAGCTTTTCAGGTAGCTGAAGATGTAGCAAAGCAAGCACTCGGGATCAAGGAGTGTGCACATCCCTACTAATGAGAATGAAAGCTGTGCCATGAGGGGCTTGGTAGATGCCTTCTCCTGAATAGCTTCCTTGTGTAAACTATTCCAAGGGGTAAACACTTTCCCACACTGCAAACACCACTGAACTCAGTATAGATATAGGATATTCATTGAAATGTTTTTCACAGTACTAGGATACAATTTCCTCTGTGAATTTGTGGAGTTCCTGTTATGACAGGACATTTGCTTTGTGTTTTGGTTTTATATTGCATTCAAAGCTCTCCATTAGTTCTTGTCTCTCAAGTAGTCCCAGCAAATCAAAGGTGGGATAAAATAGTGCCTACACGTTACCTCTTCCAATATGACAGAGATGGGAGCAATTGGGAGGTGGAGGAGGGCACAGGACCACTTTTGATTTTCCTAATTCAAGCCCTTGAGTCATATGAAAATTATCTGCCTGACACTGTTTTTCCTTCCAGAGACTGCATATCTGAGTTGCAGTGGTATTTTATGGCAGTCTAATTATATGCTCAAAAAGTTTCCCATGAAACAATATCAACATTTTCATTTAACCCGTTCAGGCCACATAAAATACCATGGAGCAGCAAATCTGTGCTATATTGGCTCTCATTGAGTGAGAGATACAGACATGATGTACACAGGGAGAGGGCAGACAGAAAACTCAGAGGCAGCTGAAAGAGCAGGAGATTATCTGTGAGACAGATCTTGTTGTTTTTATGACTTTCTCATGACTCCTCTTCCTGATTTGCCTCCACTTGCTCTTCATAGGGAAAAATTTCCAATCTTTTTTTTTTTTATCTGTCAGTAAACACACACACCTCACCTACCTGCAGCCTACACAGTATGTCCTAGTAACACAATAAAGTTACAAAAAAAAAAAAAAGAAGTTATTACTTCACCTTAGGGATAAACTCCAGGCAAAGCATGCAAAAAGATTAGGGCAAGAGCTAATGTTGATATCACAGAATCACAGAATCACAGAATTTCTAGGTTGGAAGAGACCTCAAGATCATCGAGGCCAACCTCTGACCTAACGCTAACAGTCCCCACTGATATCCTAAAAGAGACTGTGATAATACCACTAGGATGCTATTTGCCTTTGGGTTTTGTTCCATGATACAAAAAGATATTCCTGGTTTTGAAGGTAACACCTTCAAAATGCCATCCCAAATAATGAATTCCCATTCTAAATTTGAAAATTTGGACCAAAATCACTCCTGGCCTATGAATGGTTCAAAGCACTTCAGAAAGCACTCTGCAAATTTCTATCCACAGAAATTAATTATTTTATTAATTAAAATTAATTAGTAAGAATTAATAGAAATTAAATTATCCAGAGAAACAGAAAATAAAAAAGGCAAATACACTACACATAAAAGATGAAATACAGACCCATTTCATGGGTCTTTTCCCTAGTACAGGCTGCCAATCTACCAAAGTGAACATTAACAGTCTTAGTGAAGAGAATATTTCTAGCTGAGTTAAACCTGGACAAGAGCTGACATTGCACACGGGATTCGACTTGGAAAGCACTGGGGGAGAACAGAGGCACTTCCTGCAGGTGCTGGGGGCATGGTAAGCCTAGAGCCTATGTAGCTAGGTACCTGCACTGTCAGCAGCAGAAGCTTCTTCATTTCTAGTCTTTTAAATAGTCTTTAGGAAAGTTACAGTTCTGCTCCCCTCAGCTCAACTCAAGGAAGCTTGTGGGCAGAGCGCTGATACTAGTCTCTGCAGAGACTTTTGGAAAAAAATGATTACTTAAAGATGAGAAAAATGGAAGTAAGACAAAGGGGATATACCATAGCTTTCCACAGGCAGCCATAATACCAGTACAAGACATCCTCAGTCATATAAAACAGTAAAATCTTATCAAGTAGTCACAGGAGATCTGAAGAGAGAGATTTGTGTATCTTCAGATATGCTCTCCACTTACTTCTGACAACAGTCGCAAGACAGCCCTCCCTGCAATTCCGCGCCTCAAATAAATTACTTGGCTTTACAGGAGGGTTCCAGGACTCCATGTCCCTGAAAACTGGGGTAAATTATTGTGGGGTTATAGCTACATCATGGATTACCGAAGAGCCCCGCTTCTTATTTCAAAAGGTGTGTTTGCTCAGACACTGTGCCATAAACCCACTCTTGGTAAATTCAGTTTTTACCTGACTTTCTTCATGGCTTTTTCCATTCTCCAGCTTTGCCAAGGGCTTAGGCTTTCTTAGCTTTAAGTTGCCCATGTCAGGCTTTAGAGCATAGTCAGTTACTGTCTGCTCTTTATGCTGCTGGTTGTCTTGCAAAGGCAGCTGCCTTTCTCCTAAAACAGCAGTGTTGTCCAGATAATTTTCTTTGTTATCATCATCTCTGTAAGAAAAACAAAAATGAAAATGCATCAGACAGGACTTCAGACACCTGTCAAAACATTATGAAGAACACCAACAAGATCTCAGCTATTCATGGCGTTTTAATTTTGATGTTAAATGTATGTTGCCTACATACCAAACAAACATTACATATATTAGTAAAATGATTCTAAGAGGCTACTGCTTATTGAGAAATCACAAGATAAACTGCTGTTACTATTATTACATATTCATTTGTGGAGACATTTAAATGAGACTAGTTTTAGAGGCACTCTTTGGCCTCAGCTCTACATTTCATATTCCCCAAATAAAACCTGGAACTGTCTTTTTCATGCAGCAGGCCTCTCCCTGTCCAATGTTTTACACTAATTTATAATCTCACAGAAATGTTTTAACACAGAGTAATTCCTCCCTATAGTCACACTTCCCTTCTGACAGTCTTTCCTCATCTTTTTGAGGGCTTTTGTACAGAGCAAGGAAGGTAGGCACACAACATAGGGTTTGAACAATCGGAGGAATGTTTGGGTGGAGGGGACAAGCATCACCTGCTACCGGTTTGGAGAAAGGTTCCCCTTTACAACACCATATCCACTGGTTTAAACAGATGCTGTTGTTCATGTATGCTCTGATAACCACTGAATCTTGAACAGATGTTTTCAATCTTTGCCTAGTCTACAAGGTACAACCTATCCTAAGGAGACTTTGTTAGCCTTATCCACATCCAACCGATCCCACCTTGGACCTCTCTAATGCCTTCCACTGAGAACAACCCACACGCAGGATGATGTGAGACTGCCTACTTAGCTGGCAGGATGAGCAGACTGGTACTATTGCTATGAAATCCCTGGCTATTGTCTAGTTTGCAGGTGAAACTTCGGTTGTCAGCTACATTTTTTTCACAGAGATTCTTCAATGTGCATATCCTTGCACAGTCACAAAACTCCACTTACTACTGCTTTGTACCAGATGCTGTACAGTAAAACACAATATATTAGATTCAGAGCTCCATCTGAATGAAAGTAATATGATTTGGAGTTAAAAACACAGACCATAACATATTTTCTTATAGAATCACACTTAATCCTCCTATTGTTTACATATATATAATACTAACACACACTTCCCAGAAATAGTAATAGCGATAGCAGGCAATACCTCAGAAATTTTACATTCTTTTGACAATAAAGGTTTCTTTCTAATGGTTTAACAGAAGTACTCTGACAGCTTTACTTGTTGCCAATGGATTTCAGACAAAATTTGCAATAGCATACCTGGCACTGCAACTGGCCACTTGATCTTCATGTACAGAGTCTGAATTCCTGTCACACCTTGAAAATAGATAGAAAATAATTGCTGATAAATAATTGCTGCTGCAGCAGAAATTTAGCTTTTAATAACATGACAGTGCAGCTGAAAGTACGCATAAACACATTTCACATTCTCACACCTGAGCTGAATCATTTAATGTCATAGCTTCTCAGCGATAGTCTACATCTCAGAGGAAGAAGAGGATTTGAAACATTAAATATACACAATTTGGCATATCTTTCTCAGCCAGTTGGAAATAATGACAACAAAGGCTTCAGATGTTACAATAAAAATTACAGAAAATTTTTACATGAAATCCTGAGTTTCGATTGCTTATATAATATACTTAACATTCAAAAAAGAATTAGAAACAACAATTAGCTAAGGCTTTTTTTCTTAGACTCACACACAAAAAAATAACAACAATACAGCAGTCATTCTCTGAGCAGCAGGGAAAGGAATCCCCAAATAAATTACAAAGTGACCATTAGTCAAAAGTGAACTATCAGAATTTTTTAAAATGCATGAAGAATCATAATCAATTCCATCCCACTGTGTAAAAACCAGCAATATTATCATAGGACTACATAATCAAAACAAGAAGTCTGGATAAATATGCAAAACGCCAGTGTTGAACAGTATATTGTGCAGCATTGATTAATTTTGCAGAATGATACAGCTGCAAAGCCCAAGATCAGTTTTTCTTCAAATAAACATACATATATACACATACACTCCCAACAAATATGTATATACCCTTCCTGGGTATGATTTCTATGGAAGAGTCAGGGCCCTCCTCTCACCCTCAGTTCATACTCACAGGGCACAGGCACTGAGTAGGCCTGGAGCACTTGAAGTTTGCTGGCAGAGGAATCTCTTCATTATGTGGGATGCAGCCTGTACTTCCGCTGACTTGTTAAATTTTTAGAAGAGCTGCCCAGCTTAGGACAGAGCACATTAAGTGATAAATTCATAGCTCTGCATTGCAATTTGACGGCAAGGATTTTAATATATTCCTCTTTCCCACCAGTCTTCTGCCAGTATCTTCACCAAAAGCCAGACTACTGCAGAAATTATTTAAAGGGATACCAAGTGTTTACTCTTCCTGAATACATCAGCATTTGTCTGAAAGCATTCACTGAATGCAGCTGGAACAAGTGCAGGTTCCCCTCAATCACATAATATTCCTGCAATGGGTGTAGTTCTCCCTGCAAGGCAAACTGGGCTGACAGATGGAAGACAGAGCTTGATGCACACAGTGAATAAATTTACTGTAGAAATTTAGCTTTCTTTGCCTCTGGATGTCTGTCACAACTTGCCTCTGATCACTCATAAATGACCTTATTGATCTCTGAGATGAGCGAGGCATGAGGACAGGGTGTAATGGGTAATAGGAATATTCTCTAGTATGAAGAGGGAAGCCCAGCAGAAAAGAAGCCAGGTACCTGGATGGAAACTTTCAGCAAGGAGAAAATATAGGAAGGAAATGCACAGTGAGGAGACAGTGCCAAGGACAGCTGGATGGACAGAACTCCCAGCACAGACCCAAGAGCAGGGTGACATGCCACCAGGTGCTCCATGCACCATGTACCACAGGCAACAAAGGCCAGGGACCCCCACTGGGGCCCACTTTCCCTCCTATGTGTGACACAAGACAAGGTGGGAGGGGACACTTCCAACACCAGCTTCACTCACCCCCTCCTCTCAGCAGTCAGCACACTCAGAAGTCTTCACTTACAGAAGACCATTTTGGCAACTAGGAACACTCTCTGGAAGTATGGTGGGTGACTGAGCAGGTCCATCAGCCAAGGCTACGTGTGCATATCTGGGTAATAAGGATGTAATAAGGGTGATCTAGAGAAGTGGAAAGCCTAACTCAGCATACACTAACTGGTTAAAGTTATACATCAAGACGTTATAAATACTCTAAGTGAGCACAATAAGCTGTATTTAAGTAACAAGATAGCAGTAGATATGAAAGATAAGCAATGGTGAATCATAGAAGACGGTGACCATCACGCAATGAAAAAGACTATGAGGCAGTTCAGAAGCACAAAATCTGAAAGGGAGAAGAGACTTTTTTCTCTCTGCAAGAATAAACATTAACCAAGGAAACTCACTTGCACAAGACGCTGCTTGAGGCTAAGATCATAGCAGGACCTTTAAAAGATGAATTCACGATATAATGAAAATATCCACCATGAAAGCACAGTGTTTTCACATTGGTTTCTTCCAGAAATGCAGCTTATGTGTTCATGCCACTTGTCTGTATGTACAAACACAGAGATACACTCATCTCTTCCCACTTGTAAATCTCATTGCCCAACTTCAGCCACATTTTAACAGCTCTAGGAATACTCAAGAATTTGGTAAATTTTGTGAGAGTCTGTGGCCATGCAGTAGAGAGAATTACCACCAGCAGAAAAATTGAAGCAGCATCAGACTCATTCCTAAAACATCACAGTATACACCAGAACAGCCTCAAGTCATAAATCCATAAGGGTAGAAGCTTAGAATGGGCATGAAATTTGCCTTTTGACATATGGGATGGGGTCCCAGTCTAGACAGACTGCTGTTCTGACTCTCTATAGCAATTCCTCTGCACATTTCTTCCAGAGAACTCTGTTTTTGTGGGATTGGCTTTTTATTTTTCCATTTTCACCTTTCTAAAGGAGCCATTTCAGTACAGCTGGAAAACTGCTTCCTTTTGCAGATTTGACCTTTAAGATGTTCACATCAACTACTTCTCCACCTGGCTGCACGCATGGCTTGCTGGGAGCGTGGCAGCCCCAGGCACTTGTTTTATCTGGAGAAATGTTCCTGAAACTATTGTTTCAGTGATTTTATGTCATTCAGGAAGCCCTGATTTTTTCCTTTGCCACAAGGAAAGACAAAATGTCAATGGGGATGTCTAAATTGCACGGCAAGCTCTCTTTTTATTCTGTTAAACAGAAGTAACCTATTTTCAGAGATGGCTAGCAGAAACAACTAGTGCTGAAATCAGTAAGAATTATGTATCCTCAGCACTTCTCAAAACAGGCTTTTGGGGGAGGCTTTAAAACAGGATTTAGGGAAAACGACTCTGGAAACCAGGTTTGTTCATTTGGACAATAATTTTCAGATGATGTTCGCTTGCTTTGTTTTCTAAAAGCATGTTACTACTTCTGTGTTTGGGAAAATAAGATGAAAAATCAAAGCCCCTGAAATAAAACCAACAACAGCTTAAATGAGGGAGATTCAGCCTGCAGGCAGTTCCTGGCCCAACTCTGCCATGCTGCTGCCTCTCCACTCCACACAGCACAGGCTGCACCCCTCTCTTTGTCCCTTTCACCAGGGCAGTACTGATACTTTGCAGTCAGCTTTTCTGCCATTCTAGCCCTTATCTTAACATCACACAAAGCACCACAGCACAAAGCTATCAGCTTCAGGTCCCGGAAAACCTCAAGAGTGAGGCAGGCACCAGGCCACACCAGGGGAACATGGAAACAATTTAGGGGACAGAGCAAAGGAAAGGAGACAAATATATGAAAAAAGTACTATCTGCAATCTGGCTATTCTTCTGTGAAGGAGGAGCATCCCAGAATTTCACATACCACAATTAATCACTTAACTAACAGGTACACCAAAAAAAATAATTTAAAATGACTTACTGATTTAACTCACTCCTGTTAAATCTTTCCATATTTACCACAATCACACAGAAAAAATGACTAATTTAAAATATCAACTAAAGCAAGGCAGGAATGTAGGAGAGATTAATTATTTGGATCCCTAAGAAATATTACTTATATTTTCCCATAGTGATTTTGACAATACTTTCGGATGACTCAGACCAAATTACAACTCGGCCTGCTTTTCAGAGTGCGTTCTCTCCCCACAACACTTAGGCAAACACAACACCGTCCAGCTAGGGTTTTTTAAAATATGAGTGTTTTAGCAGTGTAGAACTCACCTAATATACAAACAAATCTATAAATCATCTCCTTCCTGAAAAACTGCTTGACACATTACTGCTGAAGAGTCTTCCCTAAAAGCTTTTGAAACAATCAGAAGCATGCAAAACAATGAGAGAACATGTGAACTGAAACATTTTAGACTGAAATAAAAAGACAATTTCATTTGTAAACTCTTCACCTTTCTAACTTTCTAATGTCCTATTTTGTTGTCTCTCTCAAACAACAACAACAAAATCAACAGACATATCCTTATGATCATGATACAGATGAAAACCCTTCCAACGTGTTTATGGAATTGATTACGAAGTATTAATTACAAATATAATGTATTTGGTGCTTGGTCCATCTAAATAATGTATAATTATATTTTCAAAATATTTGCAAAGAATTTTTTTCTTACTAATGTATGCAAGAAGTACAGAGCATGTGTTCAGACATACTTGAGTTTGTTAAGATCATCAGTACCAGAAATAAGCAATATATTCACAGGAGATTTATCCTACACTGAAATCATGCACTTAAACATGTGTGATGTGCATCATATTTATATCCTCCTAGAAAGGCATTTCATTGCTAAATGGTCAAAGAAAATGTAAAGGCAGCTGTTTTATGCAATACTTTCCATATTCTCACTAATATAGTTAGATTACAGAAAACTGAATTAAAATGTATGACAGAAAGCTTGGGACTTCTCACATAGTACTTACAATTATTCTCTACAGTAGCTAAACTCAGCATTCTTATTTAAAAATAAGGCACATCTTTAAAGTGTTCACTTACTCTGCTAAAGCTGTGGTGTTGAAGGAATTATCCTGAATGCTGAAACAGAAACAAGAAAACATCAGACAAGTCAGCAAAGCAGGCAGGCTCCCTGTATCGTCCTCAGTTGTAAGAACACATGCACAAACATGGCATTGCAAGGCAAGTCTCTGTGTGCTAGCTCTACATGCACGACTGTACCTTCAGCTGCTCTGCACATGCTCATAATCAAGGAACCATAGGGATTAGCCCTACAACACTCACAAAGCCCATCCAGCAGTGCTTTGAATTAATACAGCGATGCAGGTAGTCCATGAGGCTCAGAAAGGGATCATATTCTTTTGTAACTGTAACACTGCTGCTAATAAAGTCTTAGGTTTACAAACAAGTATTCAGCATTCTGTCCTTTAGATGCCTGTTCTATGTAATTGGCTCATCAAACACAATGTTGTTTTTATTACTTAAATAGGGCTGCTCAGCTAAGATCTCTGGATGTTTTTTCTTCTTGTTTGGTGGTCTCTTACATGCTCAGCTCATGGACAGACCCCAGGGGAAGCTATGAAAAAATAATCTGGCAGAAAGGACAGTTCAAGTAGCAAAAGGCTATTAAGTAAACCACAAGCAATAGACGAAACCATTCCTATGAAAGGAATAGGCTGCTGCCCTCCTGCAGCAAAATGTTTCAGACCTGATGTAATATATTCACTGAGGGTCAACTCAGGATACAGTAAACGACTGGTTTTGAGGCAGCAGTGGAATTCCCCCTCAAACAACACCTCTCAAAGCCAGTAAATACATTCTTGGATCGTTCTGAAATCTTATAGCAGCACAAAACAAACAAAATCCATTCTCACTGATACATACCAGAACTGGGCTTTTTTTACTTATTTATTTTTTATTTTTTTTTTTTGCTTGGGAGGAAGCAGAGAAGGCAGTGTAGACAACAGCGTCTTATGAGCACTCCTGCTTGTGACAATGGCACCTCACAGACGCCAGCAGCAAGCAGAGCAGGGATACAGAGGTACAGCATCCTCCCCCCTGCAGCAGCTCGTGTTGCTGCGTGGTATCGACACATCTCCCAGGTGGCAGCAGCAGGCAGGAGCCACAGACGTGACGATTTCCCTTCTCTCACCAGCAGTGCTGGCGGTGCATCTTATCTTCATCTCTTCCCAGCCTTCCTACCTGCTTGCATGCACTATTTGCTTTTTTCTTTCCTGTATTTGCATATATATCAATTCATATCACGGCACAAATTATCTGGGGATCAGAATATTACAGCCGGTCTCTAGGGACTTCTGCCCTACAAATAAACAGGCTTTGTGAGAGAAGGGTGAACAGAAAAACTCAGTTTAATAATTAGCATTTATAACTTGCCCTAGATGTAAGATTTCAAATTTTCTCCTCCTGTTTCCAGTTATTCGGGTCTGACTGTACAGATCTAAATTTTTTTTTTTTTTTTTTCTATTTGCAGGACAGCACCTGAACAAAAGGTGTGCTTCTAGCTGTTGAGGCAATCAAAAACTCTGTTTGCATGCTAAAAAAAAAAAGTGTAGGGCAACTAAAAAATCTTACATTATTTTTAATAAATATACTTCAGAAACTGTAAGTGCTTGGCTCTTGATTTTAAATGCTGAGGCTAACTTTACAGCTAGCATTTCACGTGTGCAACAGGGGAATCACAGTTTTTTATCACAAAATCAGACTGACAAGCATCACAGCTTGATTAGAGCAGAGCTTAAAGAGACACTACATTTTTATCCCCACTCTCCTTCCTACACATGCACAAGAAAGAGAATGAAAACAAGGATTTTATAAACATAACTTCTCCATTTCTAACTGTAAAGTTAAGGTCAAATTCTCTGTTAATTCACTCCCCATGCAAACATACTGCAGTGCTTTCTTGTTATTACTAATAACAGAACATGACTGAAGACCAGTTTGTAAAATAGGGAGGCTTTGGATGGAGACCAACTTTAAAATGTCATCTCTTACATTGTTTGTATGAACTTCAGTGCTAAACAGCTGTTGCTTAATCTCTTCTAGGCAAGCACTCTAAATTTATTTCAGGTCACTAACAAACTTCCATTTGTTTTAAAGACAGTGCTTGACCAGTGTTATGGGATAGTCTCTTTTTGCAAGGTTGCGAAATCATCCGAAGGAAACAAACAAACAAACAAACAAACAAGATTTCACATAAAACAGAGTAACATCAATAAATAAAGAAAATAAAAGCCGGCTAAAACCAGGATCCTGTTTCAGAGCTAATCTTCCAACTAGACAGATGAAGCCATCCTACTCCTGGGGGAGCCCAAGGGAGCAACTATTGCAGACTCACAATAACTTCACCTCCTTTCTTTTACTCCCAGAAGGAAGGAATTTCTCTTTAAGGGGAAACGCTTATTTCACCAGTGATGTTGGCTTGGCCCTACTGGCTAACCCCACTTCCTTTCATGTGCTTCCCATCCATGTGCTCTGGGCAAGACCAGAACAGGACGAGTCAGGTGTGGCAAAGCCAAAGATGCTCAAACCTGCATCTTTTTTGCCTCTAAGCTCCAAGCACAATCTCCTCATTTTCAGTAATGAAGTTAAAGTCAATCAGGCTTGAAATGCTATAAAACACCACTCTTCAACATACTGAAATTTGCAGTGCGTAGTATATTTTGTCATCACTTTCACATGATGTGTCAGGTCTCTCATCATCCTGATGAAAATAATGCTACACCCATATATGAAGTGAGCATTGGACTATGCCACTGAAGAGCAAGTATACTTTTAAGGACATTATACTTTGAAGTCATTAAAATACATCTTTTTATTATCAAAATAAAGGATTTTAAATCATTTTTTCCTTTTTTATGTCTAGTGATTTAAAGGATTTATATTTTTCAAATATCCTAACTGTGGAAAGACAAATTCTTCTTTAAAAGCTTCCTATTTTATATCCACTTTTGTTTTCATCCTCTTTTGCCAGAAGTTGATCAAGCCAACATAAAGATTGCATGCCAGCTCTCAGCTGACAATAAATATAGAGGACTCCAAAGCAAACATCTACCTATATTCTGGAGATATTGGGATTCAGAAATATGTTGCTGCTCACTTCTTAAAATTTGAGTAAAATACTGTCTTTTTATGGTTGGCAAATAGATTGGCATAGAAATTTCTTTTTTTTTTTTTTTGTTTGTATCGCCAAGAGAATTACTGCTAGCTCAGGAGGAGGGCTGAGGTAGGAATCGTTTAGCCTCTAGCTCAGTTTTGCATGTAATAAAGACACGTGCACAATATAGATGGTACATTCATAAACTGTGAACATTAGTTGGCACTATAAACATATCGGCCAGTGAAAGCTATACAAAGATGGTATGGTCTATTTGCAGAAGACTTCAAAAGAAGAGAGAGGTAGTGAGACAATTCAAATGTGATCAGACAGACGGAGGCCAGACTGTAATTTATGTGCAAGTAGTAGTTCTGGCTTCAGGAGTACAGAAGAAAGCCCAATGATCAAGATCAAAAGGCCAGACAAAAAGGAGGAATGGTAAAACCTGCCAAGCTGCAGTTGTCTGAATGGTCACCCACCTCCAGACTTCCCGGCAGTTTGGTTTCACCGAACAACAGAACCTTAGCCACAATTTCCAGCCTTTGCTCGCCTGAGTAAATGACTGTATTCTCCTAAGGGGATTTCTGACTCAAGTAAATGACAAGGCTTTTCAATTTTAACCACAGAACAATGAACATTTTGTATTGGGAAATAACCTGTATGTTTAGAGGGAGAATTACTTATTTGCAAAGAACTCTAAACTCTCAAAGGTTCTGGTAAAGTTAGAATTTGTGCATTTCATATCTACTATCTGCTAATGACAAATTCAGTGCAATCCTATGGGGTGTGATTAACATTTATTGCATGACTGTGTTCTTTACTATTATTTGTTATTCCACAGAGTCCAAAGTGCTTGTGCTGAAATGGCTGCATCAAAGGCAATTACATTTTGCACTATGGTTAGGCCATACAAGGGAGCTGCACCAAATGCTACGGAGGGACACGAGAGACGCGGTACGACACGCTGCGCATGATGAGGAGGCCAAGGTGGCTCCCTCCTGTCTGGGAAGATGTTACTCATGTTCCACTACCCAAATAAAGGGAAAGTTGGAATGAGCTCTCCCCTGCTGCCTCTCTGGGTTAAGTCAAGTCATCCCTGCCAGAACCAGCTGAGCTCAGAGACTCATAAAAATATTGAGCAAATTTGTTTGCCTTGGAGTATGTGTGCTCCTGCCAAGTAGCAATACCCTGAAGAGCTCCAACAGTCCATCGTCTCCCTCTCAGATTGTATCAACACAGAGATACACTCAATCTTACCTGTGCACACACACACTACATACGCTTTTATGGACAAAATACATTCACACTCACCAAACAGCAGATTAAATATGTTTGCTTGTCAGGTCATGCTGCTGCTTCTGAGGTCACAGTTATGACAAAAAACTTTCATTTAAACAGAAAACAAACTGATGGGCTCTTCAGTCACTCATCTCCACCTTCAGCATGCATGTCTGTTCTCTTCCAACACACAGGGATTTTTTATGGGATAAGAGCAGGGATCATTCTGCTGGAAATGTTAGCACTGTGGATCATTCCAGCTCTGCCCTTTCTTCATGAGGGATCCTGCAGGATATTTTTACTACTCTCCAATCAGTAAGGCATAAATCAAGGAACTGCCGTGTGAGAGAGAAGCCATATGCTTCTTTCCTGTAGTGATAATTACTGAACACTACATTCAAGCAGCTGAAAATATTCATGTGTTCACTGACTTGCTTGCTTGACATGCTGTCTGCCTTTTTATGGGTGACATTCTCAGAGACATCAGAAAACATCTTAAGGCAAATTAAACTAAAATACAGCAATTACATGTGGGAGCCAGTTTGTGAGCACTCAGTCCACTTTCTCTATCTTTGATTCTCCCAGTGACCTAATTAGCACATCATCTGAGTTAATGGACCTGGGGGAAAAAAACATTCAGAAAAACATTCAGCTGATCTCGCTGTATGTCTTAAAATGCATAGACTTG